TGTGAGCATGGGAGCAGAGGATTCCCATGATCTCATCCAACTACAATTTTTCTGTTGATGGACAGAGTAAAAATTAGGCAGCCTACACTACAAAGCCTTGATTAGAAACTCTGGAAACTATCCAAAGTTCCTTGTCAATCTAACACTAGCTACAAAGTGGCACCACTGTGCCTTACATTTACAAACAATGGACTGCTGCTACAGTTAAAAATGCCTGATTAGAGTCAGGAACACAATAAACAGATACACAGCTGGAAAGAGCCAAGGCCCAAACTATACTTGCTGTGGAAGCCAAGTCCCTGACAAAGAAATTTTTTTCACTTACAACCCATGGAAAGATAAAAAAGTAGATCAATTGTTAATTCAGTAAGGTTAACTAAAAAACACTTCACACAGATGCTAAATTGTCTTTAAAAATATGTTCCCACCAGGTGGTGCTAAAGGGAAAGAAAATGCAAAAATGATTAGGAAACTGAAAATTGGGACTTAAAATTTTCACTCACATCAGAAACTGTCATAGATTGCCAAAAATCCACTTGTTTAGGCATGACAGAACAAAGGACTTGAGTGACTAGACTAATTACTGGAGTGGACCAGTAATTTCTTGAAAACTTAAGAACATTTTGGGTTTTCAGAAGCAATTTTATAAGGAATATATACTACTCACTCCTGGGAGCCAGCCTACATAAGTCAAAGATGGAGACAGAAAATAGCTTTCTGTTTCTGTGCCTTCTTCATGCCCCTGTCCCTATCAGATGCCTCTACACTTCTCCCCGTCTGTTTAAGGCCACCCTCTGCGGCCCACCTCAAGTCTCAGCACCTCCCTGGAGCTTCCCCAGCAACTCTAGCCCAGGCCAGTGCTGTCCTTCCCTGAACTCCTGTAGCACTCACTGTGTAACTGTTTGCTGGTGGTCTTTTAAATTGATATAAAACCACCTTTTATGGTAGAAATTAAGGTTACTATTTTTTCAGTGACTACAGAAACCTCCTATCAAGTTCTTATAAGAAAATTTCCACATCTATGTATAAATTCGAATTAGGGATTACCAAGCAAAATACGGAACACTTTCTTTACATCTACTACCTGAAATAGTGCTATGCAAAACAAGGGCTGCTTGGACAACTTCTAACCCTAAAATCCAGGATCACAAGGCATTAATACTTTAGAAAAGCTTAGAGATCTGAGCAGATCTAACAGATGTCCACGAATCTACATCTTTGGATCAAATCAACATCTTGAGATGATGGAAGGCTTTCTAACTTCCAGAACATTTAAAATGTAAGCCTACTGCTCCAGATGTGAAAAAAAAAATTGATTTAAGCTTCCTAGTGTATAAAACAAGTGTCTGATTGACAAGGCATAAACTGACAGAAGAGGATTAACAGTTAAAAATCAACAGGAAGAGTTGAAAGAAAACAGAGCAAAAAAGTCCATAAATTTAGATAGGGGGGCACCTACATTTTCACTAAATTCTACATTTTCACTAAATTCTACTAGAAACTTAGCTTTTCTCAATTATGAGCACAAACAACAAACCACAACAATGTTAGCATTATTTCTGCCCAACCTCTAAGTTCACTAACAAGAAATAATAATGAAATAAAAGAACAATGCTGAAAAATTGAAAGAGAAGTAAAAAAATTTGTAAATAGGCAAAAGACAGCACATTAGAAGCAAAATGGCACAAGAAGGCCAAGTAACCAGAGGGAATTATCCACTTAATTATCCTGAATGAGAATGACCCAAATATAATGTCAAATCATTATTTTTTTATGATCTAACAATCATGACAAGCCTTTCCTGAAAGCTTTGTAAATGTGCCAATAATTTTTTTGAAATAATACTAAGTAATTTAATCTGCCACTTCTATTAAAAGTCTATTATAAATTCAATATTAAAACCAGTAAGAATTATACCTTACATTTGTATGATACTTTATACTTTACTAAGTAATTTCACACATATTATTCTATTTGACCCTAACCACACCCCTACAAAATAGCCTAGGGAGATACTATCCCTGTTTTTCAAGTTATACAGCACACATATCCGAAAAGACTCAAAGAGTATCTAAAAAAAAAAAAGTATCTTGACTTAAAGCCAGATTCTCTCTATTAATATTAATAATATTAAATGAGGCAAAAGAGAAAAGCTCATTAAAATCCAGGAAAATTAAATCTGAATCTTGAGCCATTGTTCTCGGTAAAGGTCCCTGAGGAAATTTCTTGAAATTTGTAAGGCTGTTTCATAAACTGATAAATATTTCATAAATATGATATATTGTAAGGACTTTTGTAAATGTCACAATGTAACCCCAATACAACAATAAAAGGCAACAAAATAATAATAAAATAGCATCTTCAGAAAATAAAATATAACAGTTTAATCCCAGATGAGTTGAGATGTGGCTGAGATAAAGCCCTTACCGTCTTCTACAGTAGCTCTACTTATCACCATCATTCATTTTTACTATGAGGATCCAGCAACCAAGAAACTAGACTCTTAACCTAAAAGAACTCAGGAAAGCCACTGAGCTTCTGTGAACACAGCACAACTTGTAGAACTCTAATATCTTGCCCAGAGTTGCTATGGTAAGTTACACGACCTCTTTATATTAACCACCATCCTATCACTGTAAAGGCTTTTGAGAAAACTATCATAACATAACCAATGTCAGAGTTGGAAGATCTACTTTTCTTTAATATCTAAAATTTTCAAAATCTCCTATATTGAAAGCTATGACCAAAAGTTCACCTAAGCTACTATCTGCACTTTACAACATCTGGAGCTGATATTCACTCAGCTATCTCATTTCTGATAGCTGGTGGGAACTGAATGGTAAGATCTTGAGTAACACCAGAATCAGAAAATACCAAAGGAAGGATTGTGGATAATAAAAGAGTATAATGAGGCTGGTGGAGTGGCTCAAGTGGTAGAATGCCTGCCTTGCAAGCATGCAGCCCTGAGTTCAAGCCCCAGTACCAAAAAAAAGAATCTACTTTCCACCCTCAGAACACAGGGACAAACGCAGGCTTGCAATTACTTACTCTTGGCTCACCACCTCCTCATCCTCTGAGGATGATGCTGTTTCCTCCAGGTCCCGGGCCATCACAACTGGCATTTCCTTCAGGGTTTGTCATGCAGTCAGCAGACGGGGGCCTCAGAGACCTTTCCTTGCAGATTCACTGGATCCGACAATTTGGGTGGCACAGATTCCTGCAAGAAAGTCAAGTGATATGAAACACAATACAGTTGTCTGTTTCTTAATTTTGCTATGATTGTCTAAATAATGAAAATGAACAGATTCCTAAACAATGCTCAACCTCCAGAAGCATACCTTCCATCACAGTGCCTCACATATACCACAAAAATCAAGATTTTTTTCAAACATATTGTCTGTGTTGCATGTATCTGAAGAGCTGTTTGATTTTCTCATTTGTCTATATATACAAGTCTAACATGCATTAAAAGGACAGACTCATTTCACTTCTATGGCAATATTTGGTCAGTGGTCAATTCCCTAGAACATACTCCTTGCTACACAAATATGAACTGAATTAAAATTCCAGATTCAAGCAAGACTCTTTTATTTAGACAGTATCCCAAGCACACACATGATAGCACACAAGATGCTATCATGTGTCTTTTAAAGCCAATTCCACTGAACTAAAAGATTAATGAATATATTCTTCCTAATCAAGGGTCATATAGCTAGCAGAGAAAAAAAATCAATGCCCTTATACTCTTAATTATTTTCCCTTACTAAATATCACAAACTTTGATCTGAACCTCAAAGGCATTAAAATTAGTAAATTTTAACGGTGCATATGTAACTCCAAATATTTTCCATGGGGGAAAAAAAATACAAGTCTGTGGTTTTACGATAGGGAACAGAAAGTACATATAAAGAAAATGAAAATGTTTAAATGACCATAATCCCATTACTCGCAGATAACTACTATATGACAATTACATGCATCCATATATACGATAAGACTGTAAGTCAAACACTGACTCCAATAAACATACCTACAGACCTTCAGGGAAAGGTGGGCAATATCTAACAACCTTAGTGATTCTCTTTGGGAACTCCCAAAGGGATTTCTCGATTTTCCCCAAACTGTTGGGAAGTCTTTTAAATTAAAACACTGCCTCCGAGCAGGAAAAGATTGCCAACCCTTCCTAGGCTCCCTGAAGAGCGAGGAGGGGACCCTCGCCTAAGGGAGTCCTTGCCCTAGAGGGATCTGCCCCAGCCCCATCCCCGGCTCACCCCAAATCCCAAGCAGGTCGGCAGGTGTTCCCAGCGGGAAGGACACGTGCACTCCGCCGCAGCAATTCAGCCTGGCGCGCCCGGAAACCAACAGCTGCTCCCGGGCTCTGAGAGGGAAGTGCAGCGGCCGACGCCCGCCCAGCCCTGCCAGCACACCTCCCTCGGGTAGCAGAGCGCGCCGGCGCAGGCGTTTACCTGTATCATCTTCCCATGGCTCGGGGCGGGCAGGCGGGGACCGCGCTCTGCGCCTACCACCCTCCTCCTTCCGCAGCCGGGCTCACTGCCGCCGCCGAAGGCTGCTTCCCCCCGTTACTACAACAACCAACAAGCAACCGCCCGCTCGGAGCCACTGCGCAGGCGCCCGCCACAGGCGCTGACAACGCTCGGCTGCCGTCGCGGACAGATGTCGTCACTACGGCGCAACGCGGGAGCAGAGCCCACCCCTCAGTAGAAGGGAGTCTTGGCTTCTTTTTTCGGCTCTTTTTTATATTCTCCGCCCCTAAAGGACTGACTCCAAACACACAGTCAGCCACGCTCAACAAGAGGGTGTACTGCGTAAGTGGCGCAGCGGGGTTTTGGGGGGAGAGGATTAAAGTGCGGCCACCGCTGATTGGCAGCAAAGGAGTTCACTCCCAATCTCCAGCTCGAGCTAAGTTGGCTCAGCCAATCAGAGCGAGGACTGACTGGAGCAACCCAATCCGAGGGCCAGGTTGAGGGCGGGGGGGCGGAGACAAATGGCTCAGGTGGACTCCTGGCTGAAGCGGTGCGGAGGGAGTTGGTTTGCTGCTGCTGTTGCATTGCTGAGGGTTGGCTGTCCAGGTAAGAGAATTTGGAGGACTAGGACGTACGTGTCCTCGTGGCATCTGATTGAGGGGATCTGGAGAGTTTGGGAAAATGGGAGGTTGCCTAGTAAGCCACCTTTTGGGGCAAAGAGACGATGACAAAAGGAAGGTAGAGAGTGCTTGATAAGTTGAGGAGAACGAAGGAACGCATAAATGGACGAGCAGTCTCGGTGAGCCTAGGACTGTGCAAGGAAAGGAGTCTTAACTTTTTCTTATGTAATTCCTCTAACCCTTGAGGGTAGCTATTTCTATGCCCATTTTGCAGACGAGAAAACCAAGGCTGCAAAGTATAAATGAGTTGTCCAGGCCCACATAGGTAGGGCCAGGATAGGAATCCCTCTTTCCTGGCTCTTAGGTTTTAACACCGCATCTGTGCTAGGCTGGGCCAGGCAGAATTTGGGAACAGATGTTATAAACTCTAGGAAGCCCGATATCTTTATGGAAATGGGGTTGAGAAATTGGCAGAACAGTTCAGAAATGCTCAGGCTGTCTTCATCAGCTATCTTCTGGAATTTCTAAGACCTGTGAAATAGAAGACATAAGTTCTGCTGAAGGGGGGTAGGGTGGATGGCAAACAGCTTTTCTAAATCTGGACGCAGACCTAATTGTTCTAGTAAGAGGGGATAAGAAAATAAAAGAGAGGTGGTTCTTGGCCCAGGTTGGAAGTGCCTGTGAAGTCCAGTAGACCCCTACTCTATCTAGACTTGGACAGAGTCCACCCTTGTGATTCATGTTTCACTAAGGGGCTCATCAGTTCACCTTCCTCCTCTGGAATTCTTTTTTTGGTTGGGTTTTGGTGCTTCACTCTGTCTTAGTCCACATTAATTTCTATCTCAGCTGGGTAGCATAGGATCTTTCTGAAATCAAAGTGACAAAGGAAGGCTGTTAGTTTATTGCCACATCAGGCCCAAGAAGTTAACCTGACAACAGATAAAACCATGGGCCAAATCATGATGATAGAAGCTGGCCAATCTCTTATTAGGTTCTGTATCTATATGGGATCAAACTGATGGACATCACTACTCAGCAAAGGTTGATCTAAACAAAAAGTATATAGCCTAACTATTTTCTATATCACCTGACAACAAAAAGTGGGTATGTTATGCATGTCTTCCTCAAAAATGGAAAGTTCATCAAGATATTATCAAAGTGGTAGTATTACAACAGAGACTAATAGATCATGGTTCATATCTTAATTCTGCGGTGTATCAGCTCTGTGACCTCAAGCAAATCACTTAGCCTCCCTGTTCTAACCATCATCTATAAAATGGAAACACTAACAGCACCTGCCTTGCTTATTGTAGGTATTAACTGAGATAATGTTTGTAGCTTATCAGACTGCATGATATACACGCCCAATAACTGATAGGTATTGCAGTTTTTCTTGCAAATCAACACCAAGTTTGCTGTTTCTTTCTCAATTTAATTTTCTTACTAGTCCTAAAGTGATAACTGTTTCTTTATCAATATTATTTTCTTACATCTCATTTGTTTTTAACTTTTTAATCTAGTTTATGAAGCATGCATATCTGAGAACCAGAGTAGAAAAAAACCTAAGGATATAAATGGTGCCTGCCCTCCATAGTTTCCCCACAAATATATGAGTCATCCACAGACTTGAAGGATCTTTCCTCAATATCCAGGCAGGTATTTGTGAGTAGATTTTTAATCACCTTTAAGTCATTTGCATTACAAAGGAAGAAATGACATAAATAAGATACAGGAATACTGATTGCAGCCAAGAGAGAGAAGTTCTGATTTAGGCTATTACTGGACTTTGGAGAAATTGCTGCGTTCTGTGCCACTTACTGCAAGGTACACTGTTCATTCACCACTATTAGTGTGATAAGTATTGAGAGCAGTTCCCATCAGCCTTACACAGAAATCCATTTTCTTACTGTACAGTGCTGTTTGTACATCCCATTTTTTTCTGTTTCCCTCATCTCCATTTTTTCCTGCCAGATATTCCACCCACTGTATTATGTAGCCTTTGTCATGTTGGATAAAGGTCAGTATACTTTGGTTAAGGGTAAATATTCATAAGCAGCATGCTAATCCTGTGAAGTAAGAACTATGTGCTAAGAAAACCAAGAGTAGATGAACCTGAAAGACTTGGAGAGAAATTTATGTTGTGATTAGCCAAATAAACTTAGGCTAGCCCTTGTGACTGGGACACAGGTAAAGCACAGAGGTAAGAGAACATGAGGTTGAAGTAGACTGACCCTCATCCTGTCTTCTGCCTTTGTTTCCAAGACAAAAGGTCCTCTCAGATTTGGGGAGAGTCATGAGCCGTTTCCTGAATGTGTTACGAAGCTGGTTGTTTATCGTGGCCATCATAGCCGTGGGGAACACAGTCCAGAGCTTCCGAGACCACACCTTTCTATATGAAAAGCTGTACACTGGCAAGCCAAACCTCGGTAAGAAATCAAAGAACCAGCTAGGCGTGGTGGCTTATGCCTGTAATTTTAGCACTCAGAAGATTGAGGCAGGAGGATCTCGAGTTCAAGGCCAGTGGAGGCTACATAGCAAAACCCTGTTTCCAAAAAGAAAAGAAAAGAAATCAAAAAACTGCATTCTGTATAGGAGTTGCCTAGTTTTGGTTCCTAAGCAAAGGTTGTACATCAGAACAACCCAGGAAACCTAAAAACAAAGCACAGGCACCCATTTCCCTCTCCAAATCTAATTGAACCCTGCAGGGGCCCAGTTTCTAAAACCTCCAGGTGATTCTGATAATGTCTAGCCTAATCTCTGGCAGCCACAGGAGTAATGGACTTTGTGGAAAGCACTGGACATTTTTTCCCAAGCTCCTCTGGATTCCTTTTCATTCATGTTACACTGACCTGGACAATTTGTGTGTCCAGAAAGGCTTATAGGACAAATGAGAAATAGTTACTTGGTGACTCTGGGATGCCCCACTAGAATGCCATAAAGAAGCTTTCATAGCATTTTAGAGCCCTCTTCTGAAATCAGGTCATGGCACACATGGTTTATATTCTGTATTGTAGGTGGACAGTTACTAAATCTAAGGTATTTCCAAACAGGATATAGTCTCTGAGTGGAGACCCCCAGACTCCTCCAAGTTGGTCTCCCGCAGTGAAACTTGAAGGCTCATGGTGGCCTCTCCTAACTCCCCTTGCCTCCCCATGCCTCTGCTGAGAGCATTTGTCCTCTGAAGCTTGCACTCATCACATTGAGGTGGGGTGCTTTGACAACAGGTGACAGTTCTGTGTTACATTTATAGCTAACCCAGATTCAGGTTCTGACCTAGCTCATTTTTCTGCAGCATATGGGTATAAAGTGAAATTAAGTAGGCTAAGGCTTATTTTCAACAAAGTTCAATATAATGGAGTAAAAACACCAGGAAAAGTGAGCAGGAAATTTTTTTTTTAACCCTCAAATGCACCTTCAGATGGTCATGGCACCCTGTGTAGATAGATGCATACGATGAATATCTTACAAACTAGAGAAGTGACCTCTGTCTTTTCATCAGAAAAGCTAACAAGTTCATTTTTAAAGAATGTAGCCCTCTAGGTCTAATGCTGGCTATTTAGTTGGAATATAGAATTTTTTTTCCCACTGCCTTCTAAAGGTCTGCAGTATTGTGAATTTGGTTAGTGGTGTTGGGTTTTTCAAAGGCTAGAAAATCATTAAAGCCCAATTATTAATAGGCCTTTTTTGTTTGTTTTATTATTCATATGTACATACAAGGCTTGGGTCATTTCTCCCCCCTGCCCCCACCCCCTCCCTTACCACCCACTCTGTCCCCTCCCTCTCCCACCACCCCCTCAATACCCAGCAGAAACTATTTTGCCCTTATCTCTAATTTTGTTGTAGAGAGAGTATAAGCAATAATAGGAAGGAACAAGGGTTTTTGCTGGTTGAGATAAGGATAGCTATAGAGGGAGTTGACTCACATTAATTTCCTGTGCGTGTGTTACCTTCTAGGTTAATTCTTCTTGAACTAACCTTTTCTCTAGTTCCTGGTCCCCTTTTCTTATTGGCCTCAGTTGCTTTTAAGGTATCTGCTTTAGTTTCTCTGCATTAAGGGCAACAAATGCTACCTAATTTTTTAGGTGTCTTACCTATCCTCACCCCTCCCTTGTGTGCTCTCGCTTTTATCATGTGCTCAAAGTCCAATCCCCTTGTTGTATTTGCCCTTGATCTAATGTCCACATATGAGGGAGAACATAACGATTTTTTGGTCTTTTGGGCCAGGCTAACCTCACTCAGAATGATGTTCTCCAATTCCATCCATTTACCAGCGAATGATAACATTTCATTCTTCTTCATGGCTGCATAAAATTCCATTGTGTATAGATACCACATTTTCTTAATCCATTCGTCGGTGGTGGGGCATCTTGGCTGTTTCCATAACTTGGCTATTGTGAATAGTGCCGCAATAAACATGGGTGTGCAGGTGCCTCTGGAGTAACCTGTGTCACAGTCTTTTGGGTATATCCCCAAGAGTGGTATTGCTGGATCAAATGGTAGATCAATATTTAGCTTTTTAAGAAGCCTCCAAATTTTTGTTCAGAGTGGTTGTACTAGTTTACATTCCCACCAACAGTGTAAGTAAGAGGGTTCCTTTTTCCCCCGCATCCTCGCCAACACCTGTTGTTGGTGGTGTTGCTAATGATGGCTATTCTAACAGGGGTGAGGTGGAATCTTAGTGTGGTTTTAATTTGCATTTCCTTTATTGCTAGAGATGGTGAGCATTTTTTCATGTGTTTTTTTTGGCCATTTGAATTTCTTCTTTTGAGAAAGTTCTGTTTAGTTCACTTGCCCATTTCTTTATTGGTTCATTAGTTTTGGGAGAATTTAGTTTTTTAAGTTCCCTATATATTCTGGTTATCAGTCCTTTGTCTGATGTGTAGCTGGCAAATATTTTCTCCCACTCTGTGGGTGTTCTCTTCAGTTTAGAGACCATTTCTTTTGATGAACAGAAGCTTTTTAGTTTTATGAGGTCCCATTTATCTATGCTATCTCTTAGTTGCTGTGCTGCTGGGGTTTCGTTGACAAAGTTCTTACCTATACCTACTAACTCCAGAGTAGTTCCTCCTCTTTCTTGTATCAGCTTTAGAGTTTGTGGTCTGATATTAAGATCCTTGATCCATTTTGAGTTAATATTGGTATAGGGTAATATACATGGATCTAATTTCAGTTTTTTGCAGACTGCTAACCAGTTTTCCCAGCAGTTTTTGTTGAAGAGGCTGCTATTTCTCCATCATATATTTTTAGCTCCTTTGTCAAAGACAAGTTGGTTATAGTTGTGTGGCTTCATATCTGGGTCCTCTATTCTGTTCCACTGGTCTTCATCACTATACCACTATACCTAAAATTAATAGCCTTAGGAGTCATTATCCTAGGATTCACTATCGCAATAGAACTAAACAACATAACCTACAACCTAAAACTAAACCTAAACTCCAGCACCAAATCATTTTCTACAATAGGATTTTTCCCAACCATTGTACACTGCACTTCACCCAAAAATACACTAGCACTCAGTCAAAAAGCAGCATCAACCCTCCTAGACATAATCTGAATAGAAAAAAACACGCCCAAATTGATAGCTAACATGCAGATTAAAGCCTCTATCACTGTATCCAACCAAAAAGGAATAATCAAGCTATACTTCCTATCCTTCCTACTATCAATAGCCTTAGCACTAACAATTATCATCTAACGACCACGAGTAATCTCAAGAACAATAAAAATGCTTACAAACAAAGACCAACCAGCCAACACCATTAATCAACTTCCATAACTATAAATAGCCGCAACACCTATAACATCTTTATTGACATACTCAACCCCTTCACCACTATAAATAACCCAATCACTTGTATTATAAACACCCCCTAATACATCCACCTCATCATTCTTCACCAATAAGACCAAAAAAATCAACTCAATAAATAAACCAAACACCAAAGCACCTCAAATAACAACATTAGAACTCCACGTCTCAGGATAATCTTCAATAGCCATCGCCGTAGTATAACCAAACACCACTATCATCCCACCTAAATAAACCAAAACACCATCAACCCCAAAAAAGAACCACCAAAACTTAAAATTAACCCATAACCAACCCCACCACTAACAACCAACCCAAAACCACCATAAATAGGAGAAGGCTTAGAAGAAAACCCCACAAAGCCCAACGTAAACATAACACTCAACAAATACATAGAATAAGTCATAATTTCCACATGGACTTAAACCAAGAGTAATGACATGAAAAATCATTGTTGTAATTCAACTACAGAAACTCTTAATGACAAACATCCGAAAAACACACCCATTAATAAAAATTATTAACCACTCATTCATTGACCTTCCAACTGTTTTTGTGCCAGTACCATGCTGTTTTTATCGTTATTGCTTTGTAATATAGTTTGAAGTCAGGTATCGTGATACCTCCAGCATTGTTCTTTTGACTGAGTATTGCCTTGGCTATTCGTGGCCTCTTGTGTTTCCATATGAATTTCACAGTAGATTTTTCAATCTCTTTAAGGAATGTCATTGGAATTTTGATGGGAATTGCATTAAACACATAGATTACTTTTGGGAGTATAGACATTTTTACTATGTTGATTCTACCAATCCATGAGCATGGGAGATCTCTTAATAGGCCTTTCAATTGTCAGTCTTATACCTTAAAATTTTTCTTTTTTTTCAGTGCTGAGGATCGAATCCAGGGCCTTGTGCATGCTAAGCAAGCACTCAGCCACTGAGCTATATCCCTGGCTTCCTTGAAACTTCTCTTGCTCCTTGAAAGAGACAAGGAAAGGAAGTAACTGTTTTGGCATTTCTAAGCCACTGGAAGCCTTAGAGCAATGGCTATACATTTAAATCATCCAAGCAGGATGATTTCTAGAAAATACTCATGTCAGGGCACACCTCCAAAGAAGATGATGTAATTGGTCTGGTGCCCAGACCTTGGTAATTTTATAAAACTTCCTTAGTTGATACTAATAAGCTCCCAGTGGCTGGGCATGGTGGTATGTGTCTATCATCCCAGCTACACAGGAAAAAACAAATAGAAGTGTCATGGTTCAGATCAGCCCCAGGCATAAAGCGAGACCCTGTTTCAAAAATAACCAGCACTGGCAGTATGGCTCAAGTGGTAGAGCTACACTCAAGTGATAACAAGGTTGAGATCCAGAGTTCAAACCATGCTACCATCAGAGAAAAGAAAAAAAAAGAGAGGATATGAGCAGTTCTCGTTCTGGAAATCCTCTAGTCCTCAGGTGCAACACCAGAGCCAGCACCAGAGCTTCTACTCTGTCCAGGCACAGGGAGGGTAGGCTCAACCACCTGTGAATCACCAGTGAGATAGAAAGCATTTCAAAATAACCCAGTCCTCCCCTTCTCAATACTCTTGCTTTTTTCACTACAGTGAATGGCCTCCAAGCCCGAACCTTTGGGATCTGGACACTGCTCTCATCAGTGATTCGCTGCCTTTGTGCCATTGACATCCACAACAAGACGTATGTAAGGGAAGGAAGACCTTTAGCAGCCTTTTGTTGGAAATCAGGTGCTAGGCACACCCATTGCCCTGCTTTTGGGACCTGTTACTCATGTTACTACATAGGCCTAGAATGTGGATAAGAAAAGGCCAATAGGATCAATTCCTTCCAGTCATAAACAAATAATAGGCCTAACAGGTCTTTAGAATTTGAGAATTCCTTGGAACTGACATACCAAACTGGCAGTGTCATTATCCAGTGGTCTGCATCGCACCCTTCTACTTCTTCACTAAAAGTTTTCCTTTCTTGCGGTATGCTCACATGCTCTTTTTTAGCTTCGGGTTTGTTTTGTTTTGTGGTGCTGGGTGTCGAATTCAGGGCCTTGCGCATGGCTGGCAAATGCTCTCCCAGTGTAGAGTAGCCACCCACACATGCTTTTCTTACATTACTCCTTAGAAAGCAAGAATGAACCAGCACCAGTGGCTCACCCCTGTAATCCTAGCTACTCAGAAGGCAGAGATCTGGAGGAACATGGTTCGAAGCTAGCCCCAGGCAAATAGTTCTCAAGACCTTATCTCAAAAAAAAAAAAAAAACATTACATAAAAGGGGCTGGTGGAGTGGCTCAAGGTGTAGGCTCTGAGTCCAGTACCACGAAAAACAAAAACAAAAGGCAGGAATAAACAGAAATCTCCACGCATGAAAAAAAGAGGACCCCACAAGTGAGCTGATGTGAACTCTTGAAGTAGATGAGGGATGAGAGAATGTGTGTGCTGCCTCTCTGTGGGTACTGACAAGATAATGTAATACCTAGCTCTGACCATTAGAGGGGGCCTGAGTTCGTTCCCCAGCAATAATACTCTAGGTGGAAACAGACTGCTCAGTTCACTGGGTGAAGCTGGCAAAAGGCCAAAAAGTATTTCACACTGAAATATTTTTATTTTGTCCAAATGCTCGGTTACTGGGGGAAAGAGGAGGCAATAATAGTTTGGAGATAATAATAGTTTGGCAATAATAGCCAAGAGAGCTTTTAGCTACCTTACCTTAAGTCTACAGCTCTGGCAGGTAGCGATTTTCATTCCTGACCCTGTAGCTCTAACTGAGAGACCCAGTTAATTTAAACTGAGGAAGATGACTCAAGAGGGACTTGAAGCAAAACCATTGGCTGTTTGATCTCTGAAACTTTAACTTGAAACTGTGGTGTACTTATCCTAGTTTGACACATATTTTTGAAGCAGCATAATTTAGTGGAAACAGCCTGGGACCAAGAATACCTTTCTGTTGTTTCTATTTCTTGGTAACTAGCTTTATAGCAACAAGTTCATCATTTACTTTCTCTGCACCTTGGTCTCTTCATCTATAAAATAGTAATAAATAACTGTTCTACCTCTCAGGAAGACTGAGAGGGAGGGAGAATTGAATGGGCATTTTAAAGACCTTTACCATGATGAAGAATTGCTGATAGGTATAAAGGATGTATCTTCCGTTCATTGTGCTTTTGGAATGAACAAAGACAATCATACTTATCCTTACCTCTGTTACCCATTCACTTTCCCCTTTTCCAACACAGGACAGCTGCAAATGCTGACTTGCTGTTTCCAGTCCTTTCAAAACTAGGACTTTGATCCCTGCACTTCTGACATGTACCCTGATCTTATTCCCTCCCTAACCAGAAATTCAAAATCAATACACACATATACGTGTTCACTAAAGGTACAGCCACATGCATCAGAATGATAAAAACCAAATTTAAGATACTAGTTATTTCTGGGGAGGAGAAAGAGTGTGCAGGAGCAGGGTAGGATAAGAGTACCGCAGATGCTTTACCTATAATCTAGAATTTTATTTCTTTGTACTATTTTATCTCTTAGGAAAAAAGTACCCAGCTGGGAATGTAGTTCAGTGGTAGAACCTTGCCTAGCATGCATGAGGCCCTGGGTTTGATCCCCAGCACTGCAGAGGAAAAAAAAAAAAAATCTGAAACGAAAATGTCCAAATGTCAAAAAGAAAAGATGAAGGTGATGACGAAAGCTGAAGGACTTACAGTTCCTGATTTCAATACTTACAATAAAGCTATCATAATCAAAATGATGTGGTACTGACATAAAGATGAGTATGTATACCAATGGAATATAATAGAGTCCAAAAATTTTTTTTAATGTCCAAATGTTAAGATTTGAGAGCTAGGTGTTCTTGCATTGAGGTTCATTATAGTATTCTATACATAATTTTTTTATGTTTGAAGTATTTCCTAATTTTTAAAAATTTCATAGTTTAAAAAGATATGAACAATCCAAGTTGTCAGTCAGCCAGTAGCCCATCTAGCCCATCTCTTCACCTCACAGTCAAAGCTGAGGAACGAGTTCTTGTCCCATTAGTTATCACCGTGTCCTCCATCTGACTACTTTTCTAGGCTAAAACACAAATAACCAGCCTGTACCAGAAGAGTGTTTGAAAACCTCAGAGATGTCTTGTTCTTGGTTCCCACACAGGACATTCGATGGCTTCTATCATATTAACACTGGCCGGTTCATGGCCAGACACTTGCCAGTTAGGCTTAAAATACAGAGTCTGCCAGTTTGGGCACATAGAGGTTTATTGGTCCAAAATTGTAGGCACTGCCTAGGATTGTCATAATCTAGACTTTGTTTCACTGTGGCTGAATTCCCCACCTTACTACAACTTGGAGGCCTACTCTGGCTGCTTGAATCAGTCTCTCAGATTAGCCTCTAAAACCTTTAGTAGCCAGGTACGGTGCCTCATGCCCATAATCCCAGCTACTCTGGAAGCTACTTGGGAGGTGGATTGAGGTTCAAGGTCAGTCTAGGCAAAAAGTTAGCAAGACCCCATCTCAACCAACAAGCCAGGATTGGTGAGACATGCCTCTCATCCTAGCTACACAGGAAGGATAAATAGGAGGATGGTCTAGGCCAGCCTGGGCTTAAACATGTGACCCTATCTCAAAAATAACTAAAGCAAAAAGGACTGGGAGTGTGGCTCAAGTGGTAGAGCACCTGCCTAGCAAACATGAGGCCCTGAGTTCAAACCCCAGCACCACCAAAAAATAAATTAAAACCTTTAGTTTTGCTCTAGTAGAGAAGAAATTAGTGCTTAAATATCCTGGTATTTCTGAGGAACAGGCTCCTTTCTCTTATGCCAAAGTCGGGTCATTTATGTGTATCACGTCAACTGATACTTCTGCTATTTGGCACCAAATGAGCAGTAAATTTAGTTTCCATTTCTATCTGCTCCCTGTAGGCTCTATCACATCACGCTCTGGACCTTCCTTCTCGCTCTGGGGCACTTCCTCTCTGAGTTGTTTGTATTCGGAACTGCAGCTCCCACGATTGGCGTCCTGGCACCCCTGATAGTGGCAAGTAAGCACCTGACTCCCCTAGTCCTCTGCAGCATCTGTCCCAGCAAGAGGGCCAGTGCAGAGCATAGATGTGTGGGACTTCAAAGAAGGGGGCTGTGTTTATGTCCACACTGATCTTTTCTCTGTATTTAAGGTTTCTCAATCCTGGTTATGCTAGTCGGGCTCCAGTACCTAGAAGCAGAACCAGTATCCAGACAGAAGAAGAGGAATTGAGGCCCACGTTACCACGTCCAAGACTTAATCTTCCACCTTTGCTGTCCCTTATCCACCCTGCCCTTTAGTTTCTTCTTTTTGGCTCCACTCTCAGCCCCTTTATCTACTTTTAGCTTTTTAAGTGTTTTTTTTTTCTTTTTAAGATATAATGTGCATACATAAAAGTATGTAACACATATGTACAATTTAAAAAATAACTTTAAAGTGCATACTCTGTAACACCATCAAACACCTCATAAGCCAGCACCTCAGAAGTCTGTGGTCCTTCTCTACCCACAGCACCCTTGGGGCTCCCTTTTCCAGGCTTTTTTTTCTTTCTTTCTTTCTTTCTTTCCATTACTTGATTTGACTTGTGTGGTGGGAACATGGAACTGTGAAACTCAAAGCAGCTGCCCACCCAGAGCAGCTGTGACCAAGGGCTGTTTCAAGAGGTTGTCCACACACATTGGACTCCTCTGCTGCTGGACCCAAGACTCTAAGCCATCCAAGGGACAGGCAGTTCTTCCAAGAAAAGCCCTTTCTGTGTGCAGGACCTATAGGTAGATGAGGGTTGGAAGAGTCTGGGCTGTTTTTAGACCTTCTTGTCAGCTGTATTTGTGAAACAAATTTTGTAATAAACCGAAAAACCCTCTTCTCTGATCAATCCTTGTACTTTGGCTTCCTCTAAGACAAGAGTCCCCCCCACCCCCGCCACACACACCCAGAACACCAAGACAGGAGCATCACAGCTTTCTGCCTGATCAAATCTGCCTGAAGTGTGTAGGACAGCTCACAACCCTGGTAAGCCTGACTTCCTTCAGTTCTCTCTTGTCACTTGCTCACTTCTTGTGTTCTTGAAGTCAAATCTTCCTTTTCCCCCATCTTCAAGATTCTAGGTTCACCACTCAACGGTCAAGACCCTTTCTTGTTCTCTTCCTAAAGAAACAGATTCTCGAGAATACAGAAACAAAGTATAATTTAGCATAGAAAAAAGAGTGATGACTGTGAAAAGGAGCCACTTAGACCCCAAGGATAATGTACCCAGGTAGACAGTTGCTCTCTGAACACTGCCTGGGGGGGGCCCTCCACTGGCTGGGCCTTCCACAGAGTGTACATTCGAAAGGCCACTCATTATTTCAAAAAATATTTACCCGGTACCTCTCTCCATGCCAGACAGTTGGAACAGAGAAATGAACAACATAGGCTATGCCCCTGCCCCCATGATCCTGTGTTGTAGTCAGGGTATCAATATCCAAAAACCAGCCCATGGAGGAAGAACTACAGACAGAGAGAGGAGTTCTACAGGAAACAAGTGTTCTAATCAAGAAAGGGTGGGGGAACACTGAAGCATGATTTAAGATAGATGATCAGAAAGGTCTCACTGAGGTAGGGCATTTCAGCTGAGGCTCCCAGTTCCCAGGAGTCAGATGTCTTTTGATGTGAAGCAGGCATTTAGGGCAGAGGGAACAACAACTGGAAGGTAGGCATAGCCTTGTTCCAGGAGTAAGATCAGTGTAACTACAGTATGGGTAAGAGTTAGGTGGTAAAAGGTAGAACAGGAGAAAGGGGGCAGGGCTTCCAAAGGGTATGAAATATGTTTAATGTTTATACTTCAGTACACTAGGAAGACTACATTAGCTCTATAGGTAAAAAGAACAAAATCTACCATAAGCAAGTTTAAACAGTAAAGATAACATGGCTGACATAACAAAAAAGTTAGAAGGAATATAGTCTATAATGGTTTGATTGGGATTCCACCTCCATTTTTCTGTGATTCTTTTAGCTTTGCCCTGCTATGTTGACTTCTTCCTCAGGCTAGCTTCCTGTATAGTGCCAAAAGGGGGTGCAGCAACTCCAGGCTTCGTGTCCTACCACACTACATCTCAAAACCTAGCTTTTGCCGGGCGCGGTGGCGCGCGCCTGTAGTCCTAGCTACTCGGGAGGCTGAGGCAGGAGGATCGCTTGAGTCCAGGAGTTCTGGGCTGCAGTGCGCTATGCCGATCGGGTGTCCGCACTAAGTTTGGCATCAATATGGTGACCTCCCGGGAGCGGGGGACCACCAGGTTGCCTAAGGAGGGGTGAACCGGCCCAGGTCGGAAACGGAGCAGGTCAAAACTCCCGTGCTGATCAAAACCTAGCTTTTTCTTACCCATTAACTGTCATAAGGGGGCAGTAAGAAAAGCAACAATCCTACAGAGTTAACACTTGCATTTAGATCCATCTGGAAAGGTGTGGATGAAAGTGCAAAATGATGTGGGTCCTCTAAGCATGTATCATAAAAATGTGATTGCATATGCAATTCAGATTGCATGCAAAACCCAGAAGGATCTGAAGAGATAATGCAGGTGGAGAATTCAGGAGCACTATGAGTATCAGATTTCGTAACAGCCCGGGATCAGTCCCTTCCTTGGTGATTTAATAGAATCATCATGTCTGTGATCCCAGCTACTCAGAAGGTAGAGCTCAGGAGAATCATGCCTCAAGGCTAGCTCTTGGCCCCCAAAAAAAAACGAAGTTAGCAAGACCCCCATCTCAATAAGCTGAGCATATGATCCCAGCTCTGAGGGAGGCAGAGATAGGAGGATTGTGGTCCAAAGTCAGTCCTGGGCAAAAATGCAAGCCCCTACCTGAATGAAAAAAAAAGGCTGGAGGTATGGCTCCAACATGCACAAAGCCCTGAGTTCAAACCTTAGTACCTGCAATAAATAAATAAGTGATATCATAATATCCCTCTCCAGCCAAGAATTGCTAATGATTATTGTGCTAGGAAGCCATAGGCACAGTGCACCTCCTGAGGGAAGAAACATGCAGAAAACTGACAGCAATATCCCACATAATAGATGTTAGGTGAACACAGTTGGGGAGGAAGGAGTGGCGGAAGGAGCATAGTTCAAAGAAAATTGGTAAGATAGGACTGCAGGTACTGGGACTGAGCTGTGAACTTCCTGACTAGAGCAAGTGGTGTTGGGCTGGGGTGACTGTAGAACAAACATTTCAGCTGCCATTTGAGGAAGAGCCAAAGACAACAGTGGGCCATCTCATCAGGGTCACTTCCCAGCGTGTACACAATAAGGAGAGAGGTCAGGGTCACAGGTTTGACCACTGAGTTGTAGGCAGGCAGGAACCTTAGAGTCTCATCTTTAAAAAAACCCCCAGGATGGTAGCACCCATGACAACATAGGACTTAGATGTTCCTCTGGGGGCCACAGTCATTGCCTCACTAGCCTTGACCCATCCTTCCAGTCTTCCTTATACACCAGACAATCTCAGAAATATGTGATAACTTCATGGGGGCAATCGAAAGCCTCCTCTTCCCCACCAATGAGCAGACGGACCACTCTGGGAATCTTTATTGCCTTAAACATCTGATATTACAAATAAAAAATAGGAATTATATTTTTAAAATAAAGCAGTGGATTCAGTAAACATGTTAATACATTTTGAGCAGTTGAAGAATAAACACCTTTCTCCTTTCAAAGAGTAAAGCACATCTCCCATCCATCCCTGACCCTCCCTCCACCAGAAGTGTGAATTTGGTTATTACATACAGTACAATGCATTCCGCCCATCCATGTTCAGATCTGTAAACACAAACACACACATGGCTCTCTCCAGGGGCAGCAGTCCAGGCATCTCAGCACTGTAGCCAGGCTCTGATATGCTAAGAACAGGGCAGGGCTAAAGTCAGACTGCACAGTGGTCGTTATCACAGCTGCTCAACACACCAGAGAAATTACCAAGATTTCTCTTATTTTCAGGTGACACTCCCAAAACCCATGAGTAGAGTCAGATGGCAGACTAGGCAGGAAAGGAGGTCAGCTGTAACTGGTTTAAAGGGAATCCCTTCAAATGGAGAATATCTTATGAAGATTATTTCTAGCAAGAGGTGGGGGAGTGGTGGGGTGCAAATACTGTCCTCACCGGAGGTGGGATATGTTTAATTCAAAGCAGACTCAATGCCCATTTCAAGAGGCGCCTTCCCTTCTACCCACTTTCTCTCATCTCAGAAGCAGCCTTGGTTTTGTCAGAGTGGAATGAGCAAGATTTGTTTTCAGTAAAGGCTAGAGACCTTTACTGGCTTTAATGGCTTGCTGCCATTGCTCCCTTGGGATAAAACAAGCCCTTAGGCTGATGGCTGGGTTTCCCAATGCAGCATTCAGATGAAGGCAGACTCAGTGACCTAAGACACATCAAAGTTTTTTATGAAAACACCTTCCCATTCCAGTTCAAGCTACCAGAGTTCCCAAATACGAACTCTACAAATTCAAGATGGTAGCCCTGAGCACTGTGGCACCTAGGTAGTACTCCACAATCAGTTTCTCCTTTGTTGACACAATAAATTTTTGTTGAGTTTATTGATGTTTGGTCTGATCAGTGCTTAGGAAAGAGGGTCTGGAGATATCCCAACATTAGACCAGGGAAACTCAGGCCAACAGTCCCAATGGAGTTGCCCTAGTGAGGCTGTTCTGATGGAAGGTATTCCCATAGTGCTGCAATCTGATGACATCAGACAGGGCAGCTTGCCCCTTCTTAGTAAGAATTGAGTTTCATAGGAGGGCCTTAAGACACTAGAAAAAAGTTAATATCCTGAATAAGCTTTCTTGTGATAATTTTGCAAGCATACTCCATGACAGAGGAAGTGAATGAGAGAAGGCAAGGGACTGAGCTAGGATGGACTCTGATACCCTCTACCAATCTCTCCCAACACCAGTGCCCATGACCTAAATAGGGAGAAGCATTTAGGAATCCAATCTGCATTTGGTGGAAGGTGTGATTTTCCCCAACTAAATATTCAAGCTCTTAAGTGGGTTCCGGGAGGCATGGGCACTGCCATGCAAGCCACAAATACTGTAGCTGGTTCCCTCCAAAAGCTGCTCCAGCAAAGACTTTTGTTCTGGCAGTGAGCTGCGCTGAACATGGAGGTGGGGTGTTCGTATTCCTTGAGTGGCTGCCACCCTCTCAGAGATGAGCCTCTGACATGATGGTGGGTGCCTTGCTGATGTTGCTCTCCTCTTCCTCCTGGACTTTCTACAAAGAAAAGCAAGCAGACAGCTCTATATGTCAAAGGCACAGGACTCCATCATGGCTGGAGCAGCTGCCTGTCTGTGACTTTAATCAGTAGGTGCACAAGGGCCAGAGGCTACTCAGTATCCCCAAGAGAACCCAAAGGGAACAAGGTAAGAAGCAACTGGCCCCTGCCTTAAGCATGTTCCCCAAACACCCCCCAGCACCACCCAAAGGGAAAAAGGAAGCTCCCTGTGATCCCAGGCCCACCACAGACCATCCCACTCTGAGGGGACTGTCCTAGACTCACAGGTTTGAAACAAGCAAAACCCACCTCCCCTCCCCATCCTGACACTAAAAACTCACTGTCACACCATCAACTAGTTGTCCAAGGTGCCACATCTCCAGCTCCCTCAGAATTTCCAATTTTCCTGCCCCCATTCAGAGGCAGTCCCCAGGATGATGGAACAGATTCCACAAAGAACTTTTACAAGGCACCATGTAAAACTCAACTACTGCATTTATACTCTATGCATGGGGAAAGAGACTGCAAGGCAGTTTAACTTTGGCTTTCTCAGGGAGATATGACACAAGATTCATTTATAGGAAGAGTCTGGGCCACACTTGTTAAGTGGATTTGGAATTAAATATGGCTTGGAAATTCTCCTTTAGGGTCCCTGGTACCTACTGCCAACTCAGGCATTCAGATACTGTTTTAGAAAGTGCTTTGCCTGAGCCAGGCATGGTGGTACACACCTGTAATCCCAGTATTTGGGAGGCTGAGGCAAGAGGTGCATGAGTTTGAGGCCAGCCTGGTATACACTGCAAGATCCCATCTTTATTTAAAAAAAAAAAAAAAAAGCTTTTGCCTGTTGTTGCAAATGGTCTTCTAACTAGCAAGAGGGCCTTGGGCATGGGCACACCATAACCACCACCACTCAAGGCCTGCCAGAGGCCAGTGCCAGCCGGACAAATGGAGCCTCATAGCTAGTCCATGGCAAGAGCAACAGCTGTAGGGATGCAACCTGCCTGTTCCCAATCCTGATAACCTTTCGATACCAGATCAACCTCAGGTGGCAAGGAGCCTTCATTCAGACAACTAACGGCCTCTTTGGTCAGTGGCTCTCCTCTCTCTGACGCATGTAGCATGCACAAATGCACACATGCCTGCCTCCTCCAAAGCCATCACTTTGAAATCACCATCAGAAACAGACTGTTAGAGACTGAAGCACCATTGCTGTCTATGTGCTGGAAATAAAATGGAAATCCAAACCAAGATTTTCATAGTCAAGGTCAGTTGTTACTCCTGTCCCAGAAGTCCTGTCTCTTTTTACCTAAACAGCATATCTCCCTGATGTAGAGAAAGAATATATCTGCTGCTTTTTTGCCTGACTCTGGCGAATGTGGGTCTCTGAGTTATACCGACCAGCATGGGCTGTATGAAGACCAGGCTCCAGGGGAGGGGATGCTCTGTGATGGCCATGGCTTCCTTACTGGTGTCAGCCTAGCATGACCATGACTTCCCCTTAATACCAAGTTGTCACAGGTGCCAGCAAGGTGCAGAAATGTATAGCAAATTATCCAGGGACACAAGACAGCTAAACACCTCACCAGAACTCAAGGCTTGTATTCCTATTCAGTGCTATTTCCAATACTCCATACTCCAGGTGACTGAGCCAACAATTACAACCCTGAATGACACAAACCCGGACTATGCCACACAAGGATCTAGCTGTAAGAATAATGAAACATTAGAACAACCACAATGGTAAGCAGGATGGAATATGTATACATTTAAACTTGATGTTGTGTGCCAAGTTTGTCAAGTATCTTAAGCAAACCAAGTAGAAAATGAGGCACACACAATCTGTTAAGCATATAGGTGACATCACTGAAAAAAACTAAAATGCTACTATGATAGCTCTGGGAGGTGGGATGATAGTGACTTCTATTTTCTTGTTTGCCAATATCTGCCAATGAAAACAAAATTACAAAGTAAATACAACAAAATCTTCTGTCACCTGACACAATGTCCACATTCCAAATTGAAAACTTGTCACCAAAAACCTATCCTGTTTTATTACACATACCCTTTCCTAAGATTATTATATATTTATCGGCCAAGTATCCCAAATAATATCTCCTTACAGCACATGTGAACACCCTGTCCATAGTGGCTCTTAATCCCCAAGCAGGCCTAGAAAGCTTCATTCCTGCTTTAAGGCCTCCCCTGTCTCCCGGTGAGTTTCCTGCTCTACGATCTTCGCTGCTGTCTACCAGGTCTAGAACATGGTACACAAGGCAGATAGTAAAGAACTAAAGATTCTCATCCATCTGCCAACATGTATCTCTAAATGCTAAAAGCATCTCTTTCTTGCAGAAAACTGTTTTTGCCTTAGAAACTGGCCAAGACCTTCAAAATGACAAATGCTTAGTGTTGGCATTCCTCTACATTGCTGAATATACACTGGTAGAACAGTTAGGAACACATATAAAATCTTGAGCTGGCAGAATAGCACTAGTGGTAGAGTACCACCAAAAAATAACTCTCAAAAATATGCACGACCACTGATGCATTTCTCTAGACATGTCTCTACATTTAAGATTCTACTTCCAACATATTAGTCACAATATTGTTTATAACAACAATTCAAAAGCAGATTGTGACAACAGTGACATGCTCAGGGGACCACAGCAGCGAAGTCAGGAGGAAGGTAGAAAGTGGGAGAAGATCCCAGGAAAAAAGGGAGAAAAGCAACACCTAAGCACTCATTAGGGAACGCTTTGGATGCACGTTTAGAGGTGAGATGCTCTCACTGCCATCCACAACCAGTTCTCTGGAAACTCCCCTTGCCCTACCTATGTTACCACATCCTCATCACAAACTCATAGAAACCCATATCTCACTCCCACATCTTGTTCCCACCATGCCCCTGCATACTCACAGTCTCAGGAGTTTCTTTGTTTGCCTTCTGCCTCCGGAGATCTGCCCTAATAAAAGCTGAGGTTGAAAAGGAAGAGTGACAAAGACAGAGTTATCAGGCAGATCCAAGAGAGGGAATTCTCATTTCCCTAAGAGTCCCAGGTACCCCAGACCTACTTCGATATTCAAGAGAGTTGACATCAGCACCCAACCTGATAGATCCCAGGGATCACTGCTGTCCCTGAGAGGCAGAAACAAATAATGACACTGGCCTATACTTAAGGGTCACTTAAATTTCCTAGGCCCTTTACACACATTGTTCTAACCATCACCAGCAATCCTAATTTTACAAATTAAGAAACTGAGGCCCCCAGAGGTTGGTCCACTTCCTCAAGGTCAACAGCCACAGAAGTCAGTGTCAATCTGGGATTCAAACATGGGTCTTTTGTCTCCAAGGTCCATGTTCATCCTACCAAAATGTGTCACTACCTCCCAAACAGATTCCTAAAAGCTTTCTCATCTGTCCCCCTCTGTGTGTACTCCCCCTCTGCATGATGAGTCAAGAGACTGGGGTCCCAAATTTCCAAAAGCTGTGCCCATGGGCAGTCTGGGCCTCATCTGCCCCTCAGGTGTAAGGGCTCACCAGTAAGGGCTGCTCCAAGGGTGAGGAACACACAGAGGAAGATGTTCCCAGGCAAGGTTCCATAGTTGTCGATAATCTGGCCCTGGGAAATGGTGAAGATGATCCCAAATACCTAGAAAAGCATAAAGAAGATTGGAAACAATGGCCCAGTCCACCAACCCATGGAGACAGAACAAGCTGCCATATTGCAGCGCCAACCCAGCCAAGCAGGGAGCAAAGAGGAAACAGAGGTCTACCTGTGCAGACACGTTGAGAAGACCAGATGACACGCCCTCGGATTCTGGGTATGTGAGCTCTGCAGCAAACTCAAACCCCAGAGGCAAATAGCCAGTCATGAAAAAGCTGAAGTTCAGATTAAAAAAAAAAAAAAAGGCATCAGAGAGTGTCCAGAACAAGGATGGGAACTCACCTCCTCTCTTAGACTCCCTCTCCTGTGTTTCTCTTCCTACCAACATGTGTCAGGTCCTTGAACAATCTGGCCATCTCCTAAATGGCCATACCAAGGGAAGGGACATCCTATATACCAGTAGGCCTTATGCTCAATAAGCCTCTAGGGTCCCTCATGCTTCTCTTTCCAGCCATCAATAACAGGGTCGGCATTCATAGAAGGGGCAAGGATGCCTGGGTTTCACCTTCAGCCAAGAGATTCTGTGTCCTGGGTGGACAGACCCTGTGTTGAAAGTGAGAAGTCCCTGGATATTAGATAGCAGCTCCATGACTCTCTGGCACCTGGAAGGAGGAACTCAGAGTCCTCCTTATGTCCCTCCAGAGAGTAGCCCACTAACAAGCACTGAGTTCCAGAGGTGTTTCTCGTGCACTCACGAGAAACCTGCAGGCACAGTCACACTGCCCAAAGGAAAATTACAGCGAGGTGGAGCTGAGCCAAGGCCACTGTGAAAGGAGCACTGTTTTATGCATTTTTCAACAAATTCCAATTCTAATTCCTTATAACTGCACCCCTTTCTTATTGTTTTCATGTCCATGATTGATCTTGACCCTTCCATCAACTCTGTAAGATAGGCCACACTTACTTCCACTTACAGATGAGGAAACTGAAGCTCAGAGAAGTTAAGTGGTATCCCTGTGACCTATCAGCAGTGGCAACAGAACTGACACCTAGGCCTAAAACTTCTGAATCCAAGCCCTGGGTACTTTGTGACCCCACTGCTGTCCCAGGCAAGGCGAAGAGATGTTGAACACTTCCCAGTATCCCAGAGGTCTTGAAGGGTTCCTGCTTCACTCCATCCCCAAAGGCCAGGCCAGGCTGCCTGACATGCTACAAGTATTGCCAAGACCCCAGGGCACCCTTTCTACATCTTCTGAGGTGAGATGACAGCAAAAGGGAACTGTGTGGCATCATGGAATACGGGCAGCTCTAGGAGCCTCAAATGGTGTTTTCCAATTAACCAGGTCAGAGATGGAACTCACCCCATTACACCAGCAGTGACAAACACAATCCACAGGTGTCCCAGGTTCAAGGTGAACGTGTATATCACCATGCCTACCAAGGTCATGATATAAACAACTAGGGTTGTTTCCCTACAAGTAGACACAAAGAAGTTGAGTCATATTTCTGACTTCAGTAGGATAACATTGATTTACTCATTCTACAAGTATCTATTGTGTACCTGCTGTATGTCAAGCTCTCTGCTGTGGGCTGGGACATCTGGGGTTTTTTTTTCTTTTTTTGGTGGGACTAGACTTTGAACTCAGAGCTTTGTGCTTGCAAATCAGTCACTCTACCATCTGAGCCACACCTCCAGTCCATTTTTTTTCTGGTTATTTTTGACATGGGGTCTTGTGAACTATTTGCCCAGGCTGGCCTCCAACCATGATCCTCATAATCTCAGCCTCCCATGTAGCTAGGATTACAGGTATGAGCCACTGGCACTTATTGGGGGACATCTGCTTTTATAGAACTGTCTGTCCATGAAAGTGATGAACACTGAACCAATAATTATTTATTTAAACCTTTATTATTATTGTTATTATTATGGCAATACTAGGAATTATACTCAGGGCTTCATTCTAGGTGAATACTCCACTACTTAAGTCATGTCCCCAATCCATTTGCTTGGGTTATTTTTTTTTTTTCAGATAGAGTCTTTGCCTGGGTGGCCTTGGACCATGATCCTCCTATCTCCACCTCCCAAGTAACTGGTATTACAGGCATGTATCACCATGCCTATCTTGTTTGTTAGATAAGGTCTTGCTAACTTTTTGCCTGGGCTGACCTCAAACTATAGTCTTCCTATCTCTGCCTACCAAGTATCTAAGATTATAGGTGTACACCACCATACCTGGCCAGTAACAAATAATTATGAATTACATCATGATCAGTGTTACAAAGCATAAAACTAAGAAAATATGAAAACTTCCCACTGAAGGCATGCTCTCTTCCCACAGCACCTTCTCTACAAGCTCCCCCTTGATCTGTCATGTCCTATCCACACCTTCCCCACCAAAAAAAAAAGAAAAAAAAAAGGGAGAAAAAAAGCCAGCGATGCTCAAGACTATCCTAAAAGCCATCTGATTCTGCTTACTAGCTTTTCCCAGAGACCCCATGGCAACCCTGGGTGGTGATGTGACTCTTTGATACCCTGTCATCATTAAGGTCTTCCTGTTGCCCTTTGCATGGCCCAGCACAGCTTTTCCTGCTGAATCTGAACTACTCTGCTCCAGGCAGTGGAACTAAGACAGAACATTCTCTAGCCACGAACTCAGTGATTGACTCCAAAGCCAAGGTGAGACTCTTGCTTCCTTGCCCTTTTTTGGTCCTCAAGAAGTAACATTGGCAAACCTTGGATTTTGTGTCCAGCTCACCCTGCTGTGCCCTTCACAGACCTCTCTCTCCACCAGTGGGCACACTATGGTATGTCAGACTAATAACTACATTTATTGGTTATCAAATTCTGCTGGACACTTACATGCATTTATGGTTTCAACTCAACCACTCCAAAATTCTGCAAGAAATGATATGACTATCCCTAATTTCACCAAGGAGGAAACTAAGGTCAGTTATTTGTACAAAGTCACTGGCTGAGTAAAAGGAGAGCTGAGATTTGAACCCAGAGCTGGGTTTAAAGCCCCACTGCTTTCTCTTGCAACTGTGCAGCTGCATTTTTAGAAGAGGTCAAGGCCTCCAAAAGATGCCACTCCCACTGGTGCTGGGGCACCTCTGCAGCCTTCTGCTTCTCTCCCTCTCTTCCCACCACCCCACAAGAAGCAACTTCACAGACCTGAGTCTCTCTAACTATAAAGTCACCCTCTCTGTGCCCCTCCGCACACTTCTCTCCACGTCCCCCTCCCAGGACTCTGATGTGGCCCTGATGCCAGGTTTATTGGTTGAGATGGAGTCTTATTAACTTTTTACTCACCAGATACTGAACTTTGTGATGTTTGTTTAACCATGGCTTCATCTTAAGTCACTGACCAGTTTAGAAAAACTATTCTAGTCCCAGCCTGAGATAAATGGACCTCACCACCCAATTTCCAGCCTCCAAACTGAAATGGACAAATCTTAGAGCCTTGGGAAGAGAAGGGAACTGGCTGACCTCTGGATTTGGACAGCAAGTGACACTAACTGGGAATGGATAGGTTCTGCAGAGAGCTCTGGAAGTGCCCTCCTCAAGCCTTTCATTCTATTTTCTAATTCATTCCACAGTCCACTGGCTGCCCACATCCCAGCCCAGCTGACATTCCAACCCCTCCCTTCTCCTGCTGCAGGGCAAGCCTGGAAGAAGGGACACTGCTGTCCACTGGTCTGGGAGTGGCCAGGGCTCACTGTTCTTGCATCTGGTCGAAACAAGCAACTAACAGATGGCAGAGACAAGACGGCAGCCGAACTCCACCAACAGTAATTAAGCCGCGCCAGGCGGCTCATCTGAGTAAGCCAGGCAGCCTCATCCCTAGGAATGGCCTCAGCTGGCCTTTGACTAGGGCAGCCAGAGTGAGACCTGGTCTGACCAGAGCCTCATAGAAGCGGGTTTGTGTGGCAGAAACAGGTCTGCTACTGTCTGTCGCCTCCAGACACTGGGAACTTTGAAGGCCTTCACAAAGCAGTCCAAATGCTGCCTGCCCCATTCAAGACAATCCTGGCAGCTGCCCCACCAACCAGTGTTAATAGGATACCCAGTGCATAGGAACCACTGGGAAGGCACAAGAAGAAAGGAAGGATGGGGCTGGGGACAGTATAGCTCAGTGGTTGAGAACTTGCCCAGCACGCACAAGGCCTGGGTTTCAGCCCTAGCACCACTGAAGGACTATCTGTCTGTGCTCTAGCTATCTGTCTGTTGTCCAGCTATCTGTTCTACAGCTATCTGCTGTTCTTGGAGTTTCTCCAAAGCTAGCTACTGAACTGAGGCATCCAGCTTGCTGTTCACAAATGCATATTCTTCTACTGAATTGGTATCTGCAGGGTGGGGTCAGGACTCTGTATTTGTATTAGCCTGGCATACACTAAAACTTTTTTTGTGTGTGGTACTAAGGCTTGAACTCAGGGCCTTCACCTCGAGCCACTCTACCAACCCTATTTTTGTGAAGGGGTCTTGTAAATCATTTGCCGTGCTGGCTTTGAACTGTGATCCTCCTGACCTCTGCCTCCTGAGTAGCTAGGATTACAGGAGTAAGCCACCAGCGCCCAGCTTCAGTTATTTTTCAGATAAGTTTTCACACTTTCTCCCCAGCCATCCTCAAACTATGATCCTCTTACCTACACGTCCCAAGAGCTGAGGTTATAGGCATGAACCACCATGCTGGTTGAGATGGAGTCTCACTAACTTTTTGCCCATGCTGGCCTCAAATGGTGATCCTCTTAATCTCTGCCTCCTGAATAGAACTTTTAAAGACAATTCTGGGCTCTTAGAAATGCTCTGGGCATTCAGTTCCAAAGCATATCACAATATTTATCAACAAAGTGTAACAACTGCGATATAATACACACTGCAAACTGGAATAAGCACAGGGTACTGTGGTTAGCCCCACCCATGAGGAGCCATAGAACAGGGCAGGGAAATCACCTCATTGCCACCCTGGGGTTTCCACAAACTTGCCAGCTACTGAGATTTGCTTAGTTCATTTGACATCTCCCTCATCTGCCTGTCTGTAGGCTAGTTGGTGAAGAAGGATGGGAAGAGGACTGTGCCAGCTTTCGTGTCCATTAGCTATAATCTTCCTAAGATCCCCACAGAGTAGGCACAGTGTCCCTCTCTTTGTCAATGAGGAGAGTGAGGCACCTGCTCAACCGCTCAGCCTTCCAGCTGCTACACCCACAGCTTTGAGCCATGTTGCTGACGAGGGCATCATTTCAAAAGTGCATCCTAGTTCTGGTTCAAGAGGAAGAGTCACTTACTTGTAGGTTTTGGACTTATCCAGCCAGATGCCTGAAAGCATAGCCCCAAGCATTCCTGCAATGACGATGGTCAGACCGATTCTTCCAGCGTTCACTTCTTCCCCCTAGGGAAACCCCAAAAACCACCCCATGGTGATCCATGACAGCCAATATTTATAAATTATCAGGATAAGAAGGCCTGTAAGAAGATGGCCTGGGAGAAAATCCTAGAACAGCAGCTCTTCCCAACAATATAACTAACCAATATAATTACCTTCTGAATAACATAACTAACTGGCTGTGTGATCATGATCCTGGATGCTGGGATGACATGAGGAGCCAAATTCTGTCCTCAGAACCACTTTCAGGCAAAAAAAAATTTTAATTAATCCCTAAAGCAACTTTTCTATGTTAGTTTTTTTTTTTTCATTTTCACAGAGGGGAAATGAATTGGAATACAAATATTTCATCCTTAGACATTTTTAGCTATCAGTACAAAAGGGAATGGAAAGAGAATAACTATATATTTTGAGCAGTTACTATGTGACAGGCACCATGCCTGAAAGTTTATGTAATTATTTCATTTAATCCTCATAAGTTCCCCACTATAAGGTTAGGAACCAGTTTGTCCCCACTTTATAATGACAAAACTAAGGCACAGTGACACTAGCCTGCTGGCCCAAAGTCACAAAGCATATATTAAGTACAGAATTAAGATGTGAACTCAGACCTATTAAACTCTAAAACTGGAATACTTAGCCTTAATGGCCTTCCACCTCTGCAAGTGTGAGAATCTAGGCCTTGCAAAAGAGGGTTGGAATTGGGTGTTCCTGACCTCAAGACACTTCATGTCACTTTCCCAACATCTAGCTTCCCTGCTCTGGGAACATTTTTAAAAAAATGCTTTCAGTTGAACAACTAAGAGTTCAAAATTAAACCTTGCCCATATAATAAACATGTTATGAAAACATAACACATACAAGAGATGTTATTCTTCTCTAATCCTAAAAATAATTTTACAAGAAGTAATCATGCTTCTTTTGCAGAAAAGAGAGCTCAGAGATGCTTCCTAGCTTGTCAGTCATGCAATCTCAGTTTAGTACCAACAACACTGGGTTGGAGACCCAGGGCCCTCTCCTTCTAGATCCCACAAGCACACCACCATACCGGGCTATCTAGCAGTAGAGACACCTAAGATGAGCTGCTGCCCAGCCTCTGCAGAGACAGACTTAGAAATCCTACTAACTCCAGCTTGCTCAGGGAATTCCCTTACCGGGAAGTGCGAGATCACCATGCGATTCAGCAGAGTGGACAAGGCATAAAAGGCACCGGCATTCAGACCTGAAGGAGGGAAGGAGAAACACAGCATTAGGGTCAGCCTCCTGGGGCCACTGCTAACTCCGTTCCCCTCCAGTAGGTAGGAGGTTACACATCCCATCCTCACTGCCACTGTCAGTGGTGTCCTCACAGAAGAAAAATTCAGGGAGATCTGAGCCTACTCTGCAGTTTTACTCAAAGAAATATGTCAAAACAACCAAAAGTAACCATTGTAACCTTTTCTTAGCCACACACCATTGTCCTTCAATCCCTTGAACCTGACCTAGAAACACAGGCTCTGTACAGCATTACTCCTGGGACAGGAACTTAAGTCTGGACAGAACTTAAGTTCTGACCAGACCTGTGGGCTTAGTAGGACCAATGGTCACCTTCCACTTCCTCCCAAAGACCCTTTCCCCTCTCTACACCACTCCAGACCTTGAACTCGACCTATTCCCTCTGCAAGTTCTTTCTTTCCTCTTTCTCTACTCATTCTCCAATTTCTTCTCTTATTCAATGTTCCACAAGATCTATGTGAAACTAAAAGACACCTAAAGAGCATTTAGTTGGTGCCCTACTTCATCAATTCATTCAACAAATAAAAGCATCACCTAGAATATGCTGTAAGAACTTGTATCCTTAGAGAACAAGGTCGTTTGTTCAAAGCCACACAGTGAGTTGGTAGCTACAGTAAGGCTAGAACTGACCAAAGGAGAAAGGACCTCCTGGCAATCTTTGGGTGATGATGGCAGAAGCAGGACATATTTATGTACTAGACACTGTTCTAAGCATCTTTCAATCTTTATAACTACGCTTGAAGGCAGGTAAAATAGCATGGCCATTCTGTAGATGTCAAAAATGCATACAGAGTTCAAAAACAAACCCAGTCATGTTATAATGCCCACCAGGCGTGTTTTTAAGGTTCACAGGACATCATGGGCACACTTGGCATTCAATTCAGACAGAAAAGCATGACAGGACACATAGCTTGTAGGCAGGGCAGCCTCAGGAGTTCTTCTTCAGTGGACCCAGTCCACAGAGCCCCAAGCCATAGAGGAATCAAGAAGCTACTCTCTTTGGCTCCCAAGTTTTTGGTTAAGGTGCAAGGAAAAGTGAGTATGGCAACCCCCCTTGTTTAATGACTCCAGGAGCTACTATTGCTTGTAATAGCCCCATGGTGGGCAGGCTGGTGAAAAGAGTCACTGCACTCAGGAAAACACAAAGAATGGCCTCCAACAAGATATGACTAGCTCACCCTGTCCATTTTTATCACAAGAGGTCATTTTATCACAAGCAATGTTGCCTAAATGTTGGAATATGCCCTATATGAGGTTCCCAGGGAAACAAGATACAAAGTTAAGTGAAGGTCAAATTCACATGCAAAACAGATAAGAATTTGCTTCCCCACTCCCATAAACTCATAGTCATTAAGCAGTGGCACTAGTAACACCCAGCCCTGAGGCTCCAGAGTCCTTGGACTTAATCATTCTGCTTTACATCCTCAACAAAAAGTTTTCCCAGCCAGGCTGATTTCTTCCCACCCATTCTCTCCCAGCAGGTCATCCGTGGACACAAGGCTGGGCTCAATGCGAACGCCTGACCAGCATAGGAACACAGTGGGACAATAAACCCAGACACCCCAGCTGCCTGGCTAGTGGCTATCACACAAGTTCTATTACATGAAACTGGAAGACATTCTAAAGAGCATTTAGTTGGTGTTCTACTCCAAGGCTCTTAGCAAGCATAACCAACTGACCTTCATACCACACACCCAGCCACTTAGAATTCCATTCCCAAGTGAAGACACTCCTGAAAAACAGGGTTGGGCTGGAATGCAGGAGAAAGAAGGGAGCAAACAGCCTCCTGCCCTTTCTTGCCCTTCTATCTCTTCCCTTGCCTCCTGGCCTGGCCTGACCCTGCTAGGGATGTTCTAGGTAAGGCTTGGCCTCAGATAGAACACCTGCAATGAACAAGCAGGATAGACTCCGCAGGAGTTGGAGGGACATTATCCAGGAAGATTGGTGCAAAAATCACAGCAGCACTTTCAAGACCCTGACAAAGACCAAGAGAACAGAGTTCTGAGCACATTAAGTATACTACGAAAGCTGAGCTGTGTGGCTGAGGCTCAACAGTTTAGTGAAATCGTTTCCGAAGTGTGGTCTAGGGTCTACCAGCAGCATTTGGGGGCCTGATAGATACACACATGGCCAACCCCACCCCAGTCCTACTGCAGGAGAAACTCTGCCAGAACCTGTGATCTGAGTGTGAGCAAACCCTCCAGGTGACACCAACAATGCTCAAGTGGGAAGTGCTGCTTCCATTGGCCAGTGTGGTTCAGCAGTAGCCATTCTGCATTCCCATCCAGGCAGAAGACTGAATGGAGATGGGGATGCACTCTGGAAGGTTAGCTTATGCATGCTTTCAGTCACACTTACATATGAATCAACCTTTGTTCTAGATGCTCCTCCCCATGTTTTCAAAGGATGCCAGGCAAACAGCACAAGTCCACTCCACTGCCCAGACCAACAGGATAAACACCCCACATGCAAGAACAATAACAGCAGAGATGGAAGGTGTGCTCAGCCCCAAGAGTGCACAACTTTTCCAGCAACACAGCCTGACATTCAGGTCTGACTGTCCCGTGGCAAGGTGAGCCTGCCAGTCAGTGCAGAGACAGTGAGATCTCCTGAGGGGCCTGGCCACTCCCACTGCCAGTTACCAAAAGAGCCCGATGCCAAGAAGCTGGCAGAAATGACTGTCATTGCCCTGAGGCTTGTTCCTCCATCAAGCCCAGTGTTATCCAAACTATTCAGAGACCACTGACATGAGAATTCTTTAAAGTTCAAAAATGCAGATTTTTGGTCCCACTCTAGGTCTACTGAATCAGAATCTCCTCTAGAATGGGGTTCAGGAATCTGTATTTTAACAACAACAACAACAAAAAAAACAAAACAAAACCTCAAGGCATTTCTTTAAATTCCTGGAATTTGGGAATAAGTGGCTTTGTGGAGACAGACCAGGCTCCCAGGTGGTAGGGTTCACATGGAGGTCACTGGGAGGGGAAGGGGCTTCAAGACCATGAGACTAACCCATCACAAAGCTACTTGGAAGTTCTCAACTCTGCAACAAGTGAAAATTACCTGGAATATTTATAAAAAGCAGGCCTTGTGTATGATTTTTTAGGATTGTCCAAATCCCTATCCCTAATCCTGTATAAATGAGAAAATGTGGTTATTTAGGTGTTCCCCAGCCAAGAAGTTATGAGATCTGACTCTATGAACCAGCCAAGTGGGTCAGCACTTGTGTGAGTCTATGGATTGGGATTCAGCCATCCAGAATGGCTTTACAAAACTGAACATTTGGGCTGGAGGCATGGCTCAAGTGCTAGAGCACCTGCCCAGCAAGTGTGAGGCCCTGAGTTCAAGACCCCATACCACAAAAAGAAAAGAAAAACACTAAAGGGCTACATTTAAGGCAACGAGAAAGATGAAAATAAAGATAAAGATGACAGGTCCAGTGACAAGCTATGTGGAGCTCGGCTCGGCTCAGGTCCTTTTAGTAAATCTACCATTACCACTCCCCTATATATCCCCTCTGAGCAGCAATCTGATCTGCCCAAGCTTCAGAGTTAGAGATCTTCATTGAAGACAAGGCCAAAAGGACCATGTTTACATGGTCTTTCCATGGATTCTCTAGTGACCAAAAGAATCCAGAACCACTTTTTACATTAGCAAGCATTTTCAGGGAAGAAAAGGTTTTGATGCAAAGGTTTTCTCTACTGCAGGCCACCACAGTTGCTTCAAATTGCTCAATAGAATATAATGAAGTGTGGTTGAGTAATAAAAAAACAACCCCTCCAAAAAAGGGAGTTCACTGCTGGGGGTGCAACTTCTATTTAATATAGACATCAACACCACCTCTAGGCAAAGCGTGTATCTAGTACCTTCTACTTGAGAGTACTAGTAGGAACTGCTCTTATCTCCAATGTACCTTCCTAGTGCTTAAAGCTTTAGGTGCACAGATAACAGAGGCAAGCCTGTAGATAAGTAAATCAGTCATAATTCTGGTGGCCTTTATTTCTATGAGGAGCCAGGAAAATGTGTTATTTTCTTCCTCTTTATTGTACCACAACCATGTTCCCTTTACCTGCTTGGATTCATGGCAGATAGATGTCTTCCCTTCCAGATAATCTCAGTAAAAACGCTAAAGATTTATCTTTTGCAGCAAATAAAAATAAAAATAAGCAGTCCCCCGCCCACACTTTCTGGATTTGAATTTCCAGAAGGAAATTTATGCACATACTCAATCAAGAACCCAGGGGAGTCTGTCCTCAGAGAAGTTTTTTTTTGTATTAGTCAGCTTCATGTATTAGTCAGCTTCATGCCCTGTGACAAAATACTGAGATAATCAACTTTTAAGGAGGAAAGATTTATTTTGGCTCATGGTTTCAGAGGTCTCTGTCCATGGCCCATTGTTTTGGGACCTGTGGTGAGGCAGCATATCATGGTAAGAGTATATGGTGGATTTGCAAAGCTGCTCACCTCATGTCAGTCAGGAAGCAAAGAAAGACAGGAGGGGGCCAGGCTCCAATACCCCCTCCAAGGGCATGCCCCCAGTGACCTAACTCAGGCTCTACCTACCAAGCCTTTAACATATGGATCTTTGGGGGAAATTCAGGATTTAAGCTATAGCTGATGGAGTGGCTCCAGTGGTATGGTGCCTGCCTAGACAAGCTCTGTGAGGCCAGGTTCAAACCCCACCACCACACACACACACACAAATCCAAACTACAGCACTTGGGAAACATTAATCCCATATATATATCTGGGTGCTTGTTATTCTGCGATTTCAATTTGTCCTTCATTAGCTAGTAGGAAAAAATTTGTTTTAAAGGGCTAGCTTGACCCCAGCAAAGCTTCAAGGAATCTCTAGAAGGACTTAAAATCTATTCTTAAGTCAGGATCTTAGATGGAACATAAAGGTTCCACCCTAGGCCTATGTAGGTAGAACAATGATAAAGCATTTGACAACCCCAAGGGAAAGAGAACCTCAGGAGAGGCTCCCAAGATCAGAGCCTGACACTGGAAGATGAAGAAGAAGAACAGCTGGAAAAGGCAGGGGATAACATGGAGAAGTATTTCCTTTGAGGACATTCTCTAGAAGAGGAGCCTTTGAATATTGTGATAGCAAGATTCAGAGGCGCAAAGAGGAGGGAGCCAAAGAAAATGCTTTTTTTCACCCCACTGCACTCCTGACACACATCACAGCCCTACCTTGTTCCTAAATGCTGGTAGACTTGTTCCGTTCCTGGTTCCAGCCCTGAGTCTGCCTGCATTGCCAAACTAGGAGGCAGAAAGGTACTATATGAGCAGGTAGCAGCTTCTTATCACTGTGATGTTACAGCACCACCTAGCATCTGAATCTCTTCTAAATTGCCTTGCTAGATTTAGAGAAAATAAAAACTGAAAATAAACAGCATACCTAGTCAAATTAAATTCAAATAAATGGATAGGGTTTTATAGTATAAATATGCCCCCAATATTGCATAAGACACATTTCTACTAGAATGTATTTGTTATTTATCTAAAATTCAGTTTCTCTTTCTTAAGACGGTCTAACTATGTAGCCCAGGCTGACCTTGAACTTAGATCCTCCTGCCTCAGCCTCTCCAGTGCTAGGAATGCAGCTGTGTATGCCACGCCCAGCTTGAAATTCAAATTTAACTGGATGGGTTTAATTTTATCTCTCAACTATCTCTCTCTCTAAAGTTGTGGCCGAAAATGCAGGAAAAAGCCCACCTCCTGAACTCTGGGTTTCCTCCAAAGCCTTTGATTGCTGTCATTGCCCCTACAGTGACTCAGCAGCTTAGAGAACCACTTGGAAAGCCACTGCCAATGCAAATACTGAACAGCAGCTGCAAGGGAGTCACTCTCCTCTTGGTGAAATCTAGCTCAGACCAAAGAAGGAATGTTCATGGATGCAATAGCTTTATTCAGAGTATTGCAATGGGAAGAAATGTTAATGCTGTTTTCTGGTGAGGACAGGGAGTATAAGAGTGATGAAGGATAGGTATGGAATGGGTGAAGGTGGCACAAATCAGCAATCGACAGAGCTGACACCAAAACTCAGACCTACCCTTCCTCATGAGTCAATTCTGAATTCTTCAGTGGAGCATTCAAGGCTCTTACCCAGGACACGTCAACCCATGTCCAGCACGTGTGCTCATGAAATGCTATTGTCTGCTTGATTCCTAGTTACATGCTTTGAAGTGCATATAATTCTGAGCAAAATGAAAACACCATATGTACATTGTACAAAGGGTGAAGCATTTTTCTCTTCAAAGGCAACCCAAAACTGCAGGGGGCGTTACTTGCCCCACAAAGACCAATGTGTTGAAGGCTTAGTCACCAATCTGTGGGGCTATTTTGAAGTAGTGGAACTTTTAGGAGGTAGAGCCTAATGAGAGGACGTTAGGTCACTGGGGGGGTGTGCCCTTGCAGGGAGTATGAGACCCCAGCTCCTTCCATACTTCTCTTTTTTTTTTTTTCCATACTTCTCTTTCTCTCTCTCTCTCTCTCAGTACTAGGGATCACATGTTAAGTAAGCACTCTACACTCCCAGCTTTCCTACCTTTACATTGATTCTTTCAGGTATTTTGTCACTGCAATGGAAAGCTAACTAACATGTGGGGGGCGTTGTGATAGACTTGGGGTAATTGGGAGGGATTTCAAAGCAACTAGTTGAACTTAAAGAGGGCTTTTTGTTGGTTTTGATTGTTTTAATTTGGAGAAAGGCAGAGGAAGAAGAAAGCAAATATTCTCAGTTGGATTACATGCCAAGTACCACCTTTATATAACCTATAAAATTTGGACACACTAATACCCCAGTATCCCCAAATCCCAAAGATGTATGGTTAGTCCTGCTTCCAAGGCCCTAGAACTCCAGACCCTCTCCTTACAGGTAATCAGCCTTCAAGTCCAGAGGACTGAATTCAAGGAAGGACATACTTCCCTAGAGAGACCAAAAGGAAAACTCAGGCAAGTGGGGTTTAGGAAAGAGCCCTGGCTCTGTTTCCAAGAGGTAAAATGGGGCAATGGAAACTGGGCTTTGCATCATCAGAGAAGTCTAAACCTAAGCTCCATTGCTCATGGCTATCCCATCCCAGGCAAATCGCCCAGCCTCAGTTTTCTTATGCACAAAATGGAATAAAATAACCTGTGTCATGAGTTTGTTTTGAAAATCAAATGAAATAATCCAGGTAAAGCAATTAACATGATGCCTGACAGACAATAATGACTTAATAAAAAATATTTTCAAATCTGTGATTAAGCCTAAGAATCATTTTCTTTTTTGGCACAAAGCTCTATCACCTGGTCCAATTATCTAACATAAAACAAGGCTTGTGGTTCTTTGACTATGACAAAATATGTACACATACCCAAATTAGTTTAACTTGTTCTCACTGGGATAACCCTACGCTTTCAATATAGATGTAAATAAGTTCTCTTTGTACAACAGAGTCAAATTCCTCCAGAGGCTCAGAGTGAAATGTTTTTCTAGTTAAGGGCTACGTCAGTGGAGATGACACCTTTCACCCTTTCTCTCCTCCCCTTCTTGGACTCTCTTTTTGCACATGCTGGTATGTTTGCTGGTGTCTCATGGGTCTCAAAGGCTCATTTTTTATTCTTTTTTCTTTCTGTTCCTAGACTGGATAATCTCATTTGATTTATCTTCAAGTTTGCTGATTCTTTCTTCTGCCAGTTCAAATCTGCTGCTGAGCCCTCTAGTGACTTTTTCATTTCAGTTATTGTGCTTTTCAACTCCAGAATTTCTGTTTGATTCATTTTTTTATCTGTCTCTTCACTAACATTCTCTTAGCTGGTGAGACATAATTCTCATACTTTCATTTTTTTGGCAGTACTGGTTTTTGAACTCAGGGCCTTACACTTGCTAGGCAGGTGCTCTACCACTTGAGCCATTCTGCCAGCCAAGACATGGTTTTCTTTAGTTCTTTAACATACAATAATTGATTTATAATATTTGTCTATTCTGTCTAATGCCTAGACTTCCTTAGGGACAGTTTCTATTAGCTGCTTCTTCCCCTTGTGTTTATTGATCGTATTTTCCTGTTTCTTTGCAAAGTTCATATTTTTTATTGAAAACTAGACATTTAAAGTAATATATATTACAGATGAGAAGAACCTAGCTTTGGTGTATGCCTAAAATATTTAGGAGTGCTTTTCTCCTAGGATTACGGCATTCCTTTTCTAGTACCTCAGCAGATAAGCACTTTGAGATAAAGGGCACTGAGAAACCTAAAGTGAACCCCACAGCACAGTTCTTGAAAGAAATATATAGGTGATTATAGAATAGCCTATAAGAAGGCAGGCTTTGCTGGGCACCAGTGGCTAAAACCCATAATACTAGTTACTTGGGAGGCTGAGATCAGGAGGATTGCAGTTCAAAGCCAGCCCAGAGGAGAAAGTTCTTGAGACCCGCCCCCAATCTCAATCAATAAACTGGGCACAGTGGTGTGAGCCTGTCATCCCAAGCTAAGTAGGAAGCTGAGATTGGAACGACGGAGGTTCCAGGCCAACCCAGGGGGGAAAAAACTTTGAGAGACACCATCTCAATGGAAAACAAAGCTGGGCATGGTGACACCTGTCATTCCAGCTATGGTAGAACTATAAAATAGGAAGATCCCTGTCCAGGCCATTCTGAGCAAAAAGAGAGATCTTATCTCCAATATAACCAGAACCAAAAGGGCTCAGGGCATGGCTCAAGCAGTAGAGTGTGTCTAGCAAGCACAAAACCCTGAATTTAAGTCCCAGTACCACTAAAAATAAGGCTTTGGACCAGACATGGTGATCACTTAAGCCCAAAGTTTGAGACCAACCAGGTAAAACCTTTAAAACACTGGCCTATGAGTCTATAGAAAAACCAAATGGAGTTCACTAAAAACAAGCCTCATCAAACCAAATCTCATGGCTTTGTTTCACAGGTAACTGAGCAAGTGTCACACTGTTGACTCTCAATGTTAACTTTAACCAGTGGATTCCAATGGTCTAACGTAGGCTGGACAGAGCAGTACGCTTGGGTAGATCTGTAACTTCTTAAACTAAGAATATCAGTTAACAGACTAGAGTTTGTCTAAAAACAGACATTCTTTAATGGAATGCCATGCCATGGGTCTTGTCCTTGCCATTCTCTGATTCAGCAGCCTTAAAGTTTAAAAAAGAGATACAGAAAATACCATGCCAGCAGGCAAGCCAGCACGCCAAATTTGTCTTCCCAAAGGCCAAGCAAGCGACGTGAAAAAGAGATGCTGCATTGCATTCAGGCAAAGGAGAAGGAAGGGGCGAAGGGGGAGGGGAAGGGAGAGGGGGAGTGGGATGAGGAGGAGAAAAAATGTTACAAGATGAGAGAGGATTGGCTAAGGAGTGGTTTGAGGCAAGACCCATGTACACAATCACTCATTCATCACTCATTCATTCATTCATCACTACTGGACTCCACTCCAGGCTGGCCACTGCACAGGAATGATAAAAATGAAATATTTGCCCATTCACAGAATACAGACTAGAGGATGATAGGCCTAGAAATGGCTTTTTAAAAAATGGTAAGTATTAAGTCATAGCATGTTAAGAGAGGAAAGGTTACTTACTATGCTTTACAGAGGTGAAACTGAGATGAGACTTAGAGGACCAACAGACCTGTGTCACATAACCTGACATGGGAAGGAATGATCTTCTAGGATGGACTTTACAGCACATGCAAAGGCCCTCAGACATCACCGGTTCCTCTGGTCAACATAAACAACTTCACATGCACATTGGGATTTGGGGACAGTAAGTTGAGTTAGGCCTCTCATCTCCTGTTTGCAGCTCAAGGGACTCCTTGGCACCTCCACACCTTACCATAGGTGATGACAAGTAGCACAAAGTTGAGGTTTTTGAAGAGCCGGACGATGGAACTTAAGTATGAGGCATCAGGGGACGACAAGGCATAGCTCAGGGACTGGGCCCTGCTGGGGGCGTGTTTAGGCTTCTCCTTGAATACTGAAAGGAAAGAAACAGATATGACTGAAAATTCCTGGGGTCCCAGCAGAGCCAGCTCCATCATCTGGGAAGGAGCTTGAGCCTGTCAAAGGAAATAGTAATTTTCCAGCAAAACATTGATACCCTCCTCTCCTAAAGCTGTTCCTCATCCTCTGAGGCTTAGCACATGGTCCTTTGATTCCTTTTTTTGTTTTGTTTGTCTGTTCTTTGAGACAGGGTCACTGTTATAGCCTAGGCTGGCCTGGAACTCACAATCTTTGATTAGTTTTTGTTAATGGCCTCTGGAAAGTTCAAATCACCGGGCCTCTGATAAAGTATTCAAAGATCCAGGCGTCCCATAATAGCCAGCAAAAAACATAGCACAGATCATGGAGAAAACACATAGCAACATCTGCAAAGTGAAAGCTGAAATCTTGGCATTCATAAACCCAGTGAATGGCTTGGCTCCAGAGCTCCTCCTGAGGGGAATGGGACTGTGTTGCCTGTGCTTGGCAAAGAGCCTGGCATAGAGCAGCCAAAAACTATTCCCTGAAAAAGCGAAAAGGATCTTCTTCTAGAGGAAAAATCTAGAGTCCATTCCTAGCTTCACCAACTCTGAATCAGATATCATGAAGGAGACAAGAAGATGAACACATGTTCCTCCAGGAGCTGACACTCCAATATGAAGGGCTGGAGAGGGACGTGGGGACACGACTGTTCATATTCAAGTGTTAATACAACTGGTACGATCACTTTGACTGCACTGAGTCCATTCAGCTTTCTAGGGGCAGGTCAATTTAACCAGCTATTTGGTTAAATTGGTCCCTCGGTGTGTCCTCCCCCACAAGGCATGAGAACTCCCCTGGCCAGCCAGCAGACTGTCTCCTGCTAGAGGAAGCTGTGGAAGTGAGGTTTACTCTCTTGGAAGATCAAAGGGACCTCCCACCTAGAAAACATTCCAGCCCTAACTTCAGAGCTCTGCTTCCTCCTTCTCCACAAATAGTCCTGGATAGCCTCCCCCCACTGGAATCCCTCATCCATTGTTTTGCCTGTTTACCTCCCCTTCCACCAGGAAGAAAGCAAGGCAAGAAGATGCCTGCATCAGCAGGTGTTGTTTCAAGGATTTGTCAACCACAAACCAGGACTCAGATAAGATTTTTCCATTCTTCACTCATTTAGCTACTATCTGTGCTTGGTAACAAAATGCCCAAACATAGAATTGTCTTCCCCTTCAGGTTTTCAAATTGCAAAGAAGCAGGCTCTCATCTGCTACAAACACAAGAACGTGGAGATATCAGAATTAAAACTCCCAGTGTAGAGGACAGAGGTCTCTGGCTACATCATCTCACTCTTCCCTGTTCATCCACAGCATGCCTGCTCTCACCTTCCCAGGAGCTCCAAGGCCTCTGTCTAAGCCTTTCTGTTATCTTTGCAAAGCCATCAGGCAGCCCTTCCTCATCCTGGATCCAGGGGATAGGACACAGGGACAACAGTGGAATGAGGTACATAGTTATAGAGTTGTCTGACTAGGAGGTGAGACAGCAGGCAAGAATGAAACCTTTAATATGTGATGTGAGATGGAATAAAACCGATTAACCTTTAGACAGGTGACTAAGTGAAAATAAAAACCTCTACTTTGCTCTTTGTGAATTTATCACAGTCCACAGAACATCACCTAGAAGAAACTGAAGACAGAAAAGTCTTTGTTTGATTTTGAGACAGGATCTCACTATGTAGTTCAGGCTGGTCTTAGACTCATGATCCTCCTACCTCAGCTGGGACTATAGGGATGAGCCACCATGCTTGGACACAAGACATAAAATTCTATTAATCACATACCTCAATGATTTTATATATATGCAAATATAAAATGTTAGTGTCAGTTATTTGAGGTTGGTGGTTGGATTAACTTGTAAGGAAAAATTAATGGTCCTTCCTTTCTTTATATTTTTTTGTATTTTTCTAGATTTTTCTCTAATGAGTATATATTACTCATAATTAAAATAAACTGTTTTAAAGAAATGTGGTCCCAAGCTTTCTCAGGTTAATCTCTGACACTTTTATTATTTGTGGATCAATTCCTGTTCACCTCTTAGAAATTTAGAATACAGAGTTAGACAAGCTTTGATTGAATCCAAGTTCTACCACTTACTAGCTATGTAATCTTGACTGATTTAACTTAATTCAAGTCTCGTTTTCCTGTTTGTTAACAGAACTGATAATGGTACCGCACTTATGGGGTTGTTGAAGCCTAGCTGAGATCACTTGCAGGATTGTTGAGTGCCTATGACACTGGGCGTTCTCACTGGGGTATCATCAAGGGGTCCCACAATCTATCTAATCTTCTGGTGAAGTAGGATTGGAGAAGTGCTAAATTACAATTAAACCTTTACTGAGTTGCTAATGAAATGCACAGGACCAGCTGGCACTGTATCACAGGGCTGCTCAGGCTAAAGTATTTGAAGATGATAAGAACCTTGACCTCCAGTGTCTTTTAATGCCCATGGTATTTTAGGGCCATGTTCACAAGAATGCCACCAAACCCAGTAGAACCTTCCTGCCCCAGTCCCATCAGTCTTCTAATGACCTTACCGATGACAACAAGGATGAAAAGGAGAGTGGCGACACCTCCTATTATGTAGAACATGATGCTGATGTGGTAAGCAAGCTTCTCCTGGTCTTTGATGTTGGGTACCAAAACAGGAGGGACCAAGAACCCAATCGCAATTCCAAGCTATAGAAGACAAACATGATCAATCAGTTACCAATGGCCAAGAGGTGACAACACAAATTCAAGAGACTCCTAACAAGCAACATGATTTCCAACTTCCAGTCCATCCTAAGACCAAATAGGCATTATTTTCCTTACTTCAAGGCACAAGAGAAATCTCTCTTTTGGTTGACTGCATGGCTCATACAAACTTCTGACCCCCGCTATCAATAACTATGAAAAAAATTAGAGGTGGGGTCTCATTGCAGACTGGCTCTTCTATAGTGAAAACTAATGAGAGAGAGTAAACTAATGCTGATTTTTTTTCTTGTGCTATTGAATTCAGTTTCACTGAATCTGTTAACCTGGAGCTGAGAGACTACCCTACAACCACAAGAACTTGCATTCAGTAAGAGTCGGGAGTCTAAAGTTGTCACGACATTTACAAACATGAAAGCATCAGTTCATTGTGTGAATAACTTAGCAATTTCCAAAGCATCTGTAGTATGAAGTCACATGCAACTACAGAATGGCTACACACATACACCCCAACAAATTAAAGCACCTCATATCAGAATGGGAGTCCAAACTCCAGTGACCTGGCAGATAACGTGAACTGGGTGTGTCCAAAGTGTCAGAATGCTTTGATTCAGCAGTGACTGGCTAGGTGACAACTATCAGAAGTCCTTCTGCCATCTGTAATACCAGAGCAGAAACTGGAAAGCGGATTGGGAGCTCAGGCAACCGCCAGACTCCACGCTGCAGAGCGATGAGTCAGTCCTGGGTCTGTCGTGTTGGGATCTGCAGGTGGAGATGCAGTCTGCTTGCACTCCTCACCGTCTCACTGTCCATCCGCTGCCAGCCTACTTACCACTTTGATGCGTGCTCCTACCTGCCAGATACTGCCACTCAGATAGTCACCAGTGGTTCCTAGCTCTGTGATATTCACACTCAGCATCAATAGGCTGAGTGTAGGGCTTCCTATGAAGTATCTGTTCACTAAATCAACCAAGCACATCTGTAAACTACCTAGTATGTGAAAAGTGCTCTGCTAGACTTTCTGGAGGTATGAAGATATGTAGGGCTTGGTTCCTGCTCTCAAGAAGCAGGGGAAAAACTACAAAAGGTAACATAAATGGTCCTATTTGTGGAGTGAAATGATAGCATGTTAGAGTTCCAAAGTTATTTTGTAATCCTCTACTACAACCCAATTCTTAGAGGACCAACAGAGGCTGCGTGAGGTTTAGGAACCTGCCCATGGTCACCCAGCATTCTACCAGAGCAAAGGTGAGATCACAGATCTCGCCTCTCAGGCCAGTGCCTCCTGCCCTTGCCTGACATTGAGCCATTGAGAAAGGGCCAGGTGAGCAGGCTTCCTGGCCCCAGTGCTCTACCTGCCCATCAATCTCATGGCCTTGTCAGCTGTGTTAGGTTTCTGAATGTTCACCTCCAAGATTTTGACTGGGGTGAAGACAAGCTGTAGACAGAGGGGAAAAGACAACTTCTTCATAGTTTCCCAGCCACTCCAGGTCTTACCTGGCCTAAAAGCTTTGGAGTTGGAGATCTGGACGTTAAATAGAATTCTGGAGAGAAGAGAAGCCACCAACATCATCCAAGGCTTTGTGACTCTTTGGACTCTTCATTTCCAAAAGGAAGATTAAAAACCCTGAGACCTTGTTACAGAATAGCCTAATCCCCAGGAATCTTTATCCTGCCATGCCTGGCCTCTTAACTCTAAGCCTGGGAGAGTGCTGCTCCACCTGGTATAGATGGCGATAACAGGCTTACCCATTAGGGTGCAGGCTCTTTCTATATGGCATTCCCATTGGTAAGAGGATAAATCATGCTTGGATGAGAGAGGATGGCATGCTGTTTCATGAGCATCTGAGGCACTGATATCTAAGGTAGTTTATCGTGTATTTTTATGAAAAAAAGTGGGGGGGGGGAGGCAAGAAAAGCTGATGTTCAGCACCCTGCTTGTGATCACACCATAGATGCTGGAGGAGCTGTGATCTTAAACCGCTCTGGCTGACCGGAGAACCCGACTCACCACGCTGACCCCATGAAAGGCTGGTGTGATGCTAGTCAGCACAGGAGCCTGCACAGTCAGCCATTCCGGCTCTGTCACACAGTTGATAGGATACCTCAGGAGCAAAACCCAGAGAGCTGGGACCCGAGGTCATGCAGAACGAATTCAAACAGAAGGGAGGATGCTGGACCTGGAGTTGGTACTGGACCTTCCCTGAACTCACAGAAAAACCAAAGACCCAGATGGGGAATGTAAGGGATTGAATTACCACTGACCACAGGATGGAGTTGACTTACAGCCCTGTCCTTGAACTAGTTTTATCATTCTCAACAAAATTCAGTCATAGGTAAAACGCAAAATTCACAGTCAGGCTAGGTCAGTCTTAGTTCTTCAGGAACTTACTTTTTAAAAATTGTTTTTAGTGGGCTGGGGGATCTTGGTGACAGAGTGCTTTTCTAGCATATATGAAGCCTTGGGTTCAATCCCCAGTACTGCAAAGAAAAAAATGGAGCTGGGCTCTCTATTTTTATACATCCTATAGATGTGTTTCCCTTGCCTGTTGACAAAGGTCACTTATCCTCATGTCATCCTGCAAGTGGAGGGTAATCCTGAATACCTGTATGTCCATATGCAGGAGATTCTTATCACTCACCGAGTCTGGAAAACACTGGCCTCAGGAAAAGTATGAATTTTTCCCATTTTTCCAGATGCTGAAATAGAGGTGCAGATTAGGTCTTTTTATGACCAATCTGGGACTTGCGCAAGACCACACAGCTAGAGGTAGCAGAAATGGAGTTTCAACACGGAGCAATTCCAAATCCAGAACTAGTTAATTTCACACCAAAAGAACATGTTTAACAAGAAAATGTGATGAAAGAAGGGCTGGAGAGGAAGCCTCAGATACTCAACTTTCATTTTCTGTTTCCTTTCATCCTTTCTGCCAACGCAATGTCAGTAGTCTTGAGTATTCCAGGGCAAAAGTCACATTGAAAAATGTGTTTGTGAAGCCTGAGAGCTCTGGGAAGAAGTCATACTAGATGACCTATCATTGTCTTTCTGGCAGAGCAAGAATAAAATCAGGAAGCCATCAGGCTGCACCTGCACACTTAACTCACTGTACACTACAACACACGCCATATTCCCTCTGTGATCCACAGATCAGTGTCCCCATCCCCATCCACCATCAAAAAAGCCCTGAGTGAGTCACAGTTCAATCAGAACCCTGGCACAATGCTTTCCTCCCAAATCCTGGCTGCTCGTGGGGGTCATAATATGTTCGAATCATCAAGGGAGGTCCCCAGGGTTTACTCAAAAGGCTGGGAGTTCTGTGTCAACATAGTGGTGAGGGTTTCAATCCAAATAGAACAGGAAAAGAGCTACTGGTCCCCATCTGAGTACTTTGTTGGGGTTCCAGACATCCCATCCTCCTGACCCAAGCCAGTGGGAAGGTGGCTCCTACTCTCCTTTTTGGGAGACAACTACCCTCAACAAATGGTTCTCACCTACCCAACCTCACTCCTTTTCAGGCCATCTGTCTCCCAGGCATCCTGGGCTATTAAATAAGCACACCCTCAGCCCCTGGCCTGGGTCCCAGTTGGCCCATTCCTTTCCTCTAGATGCAGTCCCCAGACTGGGTTGAAGATGCTCCTTTGGTTTTAGGGGATCCCAGGAGCTAGTCTGTTGCTGAGTCAAAAGTGTCCCTTACAGGATCAGGTTTTCCTGCAGCAGAGCCCTTTGACTTAAAGGCTACCATCAGAGCTGGTCTCACTATAATCAATTCTGGAGCTTGCGTTGCCCTTCTAGGAGCTCACATATGCTATGTATTTTTCAATTAAATCCTCCCCTTTCTACCCTGTGGAGACATGATTGCACCAGTACAGTGGTTGGCCATGCTCTGGGGTGAAAGACTGAGTTTAAATACAAGTTCTCTCAGTTACTCAATGTCTGATCTTGACAAGTGAATTCACCCCTCTGTGCTTGTTTCCTATCCCCAAATAAAGATGATCTCCAACTCATCAGGTTGGAGATCTGGGGCTGTGTGCCACAGCAGTGGCCACAGACAGGAAAGGCTGCTGGGACACGCACACACACACACACACACACACACACACACTCTCTCTCTCTCTCTCTCTCTCTCTCTCTCTCTCTCTCTCTCTCTCTCTCTCGGTTTAATTACAGCTGTCCTACCAACCATCCAACCCTGCTTCACTATCTCCTCTCCAGTTCTTTTCTGCACGTGCTCTTTCTCACTCCCTCACTTATGCTGGACTCTTGTCTTCTCACGTCCACTGTGTCCTAAAGCCTCCTGAGCCCTCCTTCAGTCAGTACCCTTTGCATCTGTCCCTCCCTTTCAGCCTCCCTGCTGACTCCCAGGAAACTGCAATCTCTCCTGCCAATGTTTGCATTTCTCAATACTTGCTGAGCACCTGTCCCTGCTCAAACACTTTTGAGGAGCTGGCCTCTCAAAAGAAGGAAGAAATTCAACCACCTCAACCTGCTGATCTGGCTTCCTTCATCACTTTCAACTTACCTTTCCACTCCCATCTCCTCCCAAGCCCTGGAGAGCCCATGTTTTCCACCCACATTAGATGAACCATCCTTAGTCTATAGCTTTGTCCAAATGTCTCCCTTTTGCTCTTTCAGGACTCATCTCTATGGAAGTTTCTTTACAACCCTCCCCTTGCTTCCCTCAGTCAGGAAAGAAGCAAGGATCTCCTTGCTCTAGCCTTCTCTACGCCTTTGGTTTCTAGCCATCTTCCTGATGCTTACTAGCCTAATGCCTGGTAAACAGGCAGGTGCTTGCTCAATAGATGGGTGCAGTTAATGGCAGGTAAGGAGAACATCACTTCCACTGCAGATTTGTAAAAAGATGAAAGGTAAGGTTCTCAGAGAGTTTGCTATTTTAAAAAAGCACAATTAGGGTCTTTTTAAATCAAAGCCTCATAAAAGATAAAAAGAGGTTCAATCTAGACTCCCACATATTGGATTGTGGAAA